AGTTGGCAAGCATGTGGAGGGAAAGGAAAACCCTTGTTCATTATTGGTGGGAATGGAAATTGATGCAACCATTATGAAAACAGTATAGAGATTCCTTAAAATTAAAAATAGAAATTCCATGTGATCCAATAATCCTATTTCTGGATATTTATCTGAAGAATATGAAAACACTAACTCAAAAGGACATATACACGCCTATGTTCATTGTAGCACTATTCACAATGGCCAAGATATCAAAACATACAAGTGCGCAATGACATTGAAATGAATAAAGAAGCTGTGGTATACATACTCAAAGAAATACCACTCAGCCATAAAAAATGATGTGACGTTTGTGACAGCATGGATGGACCTTGACAGTATTATGTTAAGTGAAATAAGTTAAAGGAGAAAAACAAAACTCTATGATTTCACTCATTTGTGGAATATAAAGAAAAAAACCAAACCTTTAGACTCTGACAACAGAATGGTGGCTGCCAACATAGGGGAAGGCAGGGGAAGGATTAGATTCAAGAGGGGCAGATTGGTGCATGGTAAATGGACATTTTGGTGGCACACAGGGAGAGAAAATGTAATCTTAGAATCTTTACAGCATTGTAAACAAATATTACCCCAAATACAAATAAGAACTAATGAATTCTTAGAATTGCAATTACTGAAACCAAAGGGTATGCACAGTTTGATATATCTACTATATTATATTTAATATATGTTGTCATATTGTCTACCAGAAAGGTTGAACCTACAATAATATATGTGATTGTTATTTTTCTCATAATCTCCTTGTACTGTTAATTAATATTTAAAAATTTTAACTTAATGGGAAAATATTTTTGGCCTTCTGTTAATATGTAATATATAAAAATATTTTGATATTTTAATTTGTATTTGTTTGCCCATGAAATTGAATGTATTTTCTTTTTTTTTTTTTTTTTTTTTATTTTATAGAGGCATGTTTATTTATTTATTTGTTTGTTTGTTTGTTTTGTTTACACATGCACTGGGTACAGCCAGAAGCACGGGAGGGTGAGAGAATTCACCAGAGCCAGAGAAGGGAGCAGAGCAGGCAGAAGGACCGAAGTACACTGCTGAGGGGAGCAGCGGGCGGCAGGAGAGGTCTGCGCGCCATGTGGGACCCTCCTCTGGTGGCCGGGGAGCAGACGGGGATCGAACCAGTGCCGTAGAGGCCGCGGGCAGGTTCGCAACCCAGCGCTCAACCGCTGCGCCACCGGGGAGGCCCTGTATTTTCATACTCATTAATCGTTTTTCCTAATTTCCTGACTCTGACTTTGCCTTCTTTTGTGAAGTGAGTTTTTTAATTACCCTAGAAAAGAAAAAAACTAATTTTTTTATATCACATGGAACTAGTTTTTTTATAGCACATTTTGATCAGTAATGACTTTTTTCTCTCTTGAGATTAGTCTTCTTACACTATTTCTCTTGGTAGTTTATTATTTTATGTTTATCATTTTTCATTTGACAGTTTTGAAACCTCCGAAATATTTTACTTGTCTTAGTATTGTAACGTTTTATATAATTTTGAATGTCTAAAATTCTAAAACATACACTCTGCATATTTGGTTATTTCTGTTTACGGCTATTTGATTATCATGATACTCTTAATTACTACATTTGTTGTAGGCATTTGTGAGTGAAGAGCAAAAAAATAGCTCAAATATTTGTACTTGCTAAGAGATATGGACTAAATTATCTTTATATGTTACAAACAAACCAGAATTTTCAAGAGTCATTTAAATTGATACCACAATTTAGTGGACTTGCTTTAATTTTGAGGGCATCATATTAATTTCAGTTCCTATATCTTTCTGGTTTTTTAATTTCAGTAAGTTGCTCATTCAGATAACCTAATATTTTTACTTTATTAATTTTTTCCTACATTTCTTTCCTTAAAGTCACTATGATTTTTAAAATGTAACATAGTTGTATATTTTTGGTACTCAGTTTTTAAAAATTGTTGAATTGGTGAACAAATACTTCCATTTTTAATGCACCTATCATCTTCCAATAAATGGTATTTTTAAATCAGCCTTTTAAAACTTTAAGATAAATTATATATAATATTACATTTTAATTTCTAAACTTATTAAGAAATGAAAAATGGCTGCATATAAAAGATAACATTGTTTTGTTGTTCACTAGATTGCACTGCATGTTGCAATTGTAAATATTGCTTCATTAAATTTTTTTTCCTCTATATAAATAACATGGTTGAAGATTCAGAGTTTCAAACAATAAGAACTTGCATTAATATTTTCATTCACAGAATAGAGTATATTCTATTTGATATTGACAATTTAAAAAGAAAACTTGAGTATTGCATATTACTATCTGGTAACTTATTATCAAATTTGTTGGTTGCCTTACAAATAGTAATTAACTTACAAATTGATACTTGGAGTATATTTAATAATCCATCTTGGATCATTTATAAACAAAGTCATGTACCTTTACTTTATTAGAAATATATATTTACACATATCTAGAGAGAATTAGAATAAATGTAGCAAAGGAAATATTCACCATCTACATTTAGCAAATTATTTCAATCAGAACAGCTCAGTCACGAACATAATTGAAATAAATAGAAAGCTGAAGTTGGAACAAGTGCTAACATGAAAGAAAATGGAAGAGAAAATGTTATATTCAGTCTCATTACCAAAGTAAATTCAATCATTTAAAGCAGTGGTCAGTAATATTTTTAGAATGAGGGTCAACTTCATCCTTTTATTCCATTCATCTCCCAAGAGATTCTTTTGGCTAGAATTTCACAAACTAAATAACTAATATAATTATATATAATATTATAATGGAACATTTGAATGGATTTTGTTCGTCAACAAAACATATTCTGTTTACTTGACTCTTGGTTTTGTCTCAGCTGTTTTTCTAAGCTACTTAATGGTAAAATACAGTTTTACTTTCTCTTAACATTATATATTTCACACAAAGGATTTTATTTTAGTTGCTAATAAAAACTTTTTTTCTGCAGACAAGCATTCCTTGGGCCACTTTAAAATAATGTGAACTTTGTTACTAACATTTTCTGCATTAGTGGCAACTACACTAAAGATTTTAATTTTATATGAAAAATATTCACCCCAGTCACATTACATATTTACCACTTCATTTTTTTTCCTTCTTATTTTTTGAGGATGTCAGTAAGAACTCATAACCAAGAAAACCAACTGACTCATTTCCCTGCATCTATCAAATATAATCTATAGCCAAAGGAGTAGATCAACATGAGGCTCTGGGGAACAGCGATATGCTGGGTCTAGGCATTTTCTCTCCGTGCCTCTCCTTTCCCATCCCAAATGGAGGGGTATGGCAATTTTACTACAACTTCGAGATTCTGGAATCTAGTGGGTTGTCGGTTGTCATTTGTTGTGGATGCTTCTGGTTGCTTATAACTTACATAGCGTGATATATCAAGTTGTGACTAAAGCAGTTAATGTCTGCAAATAAGTGAAGATGTTTTAATTTTTAAACTTTTCACAAGATGTTTCACAGCCAAGATCAAAATAATATGCATAATCAGGGCATAAATGCTAATATTAACAGCTTAAAAAAAGTCTATCTATAAATTGAGTCTTATAATTGATTCAGTAATTATTTCCCACTTTATATCACAGATTGTTTAAGCCGTGTCATAAATCTGGACATGATATATCTCATTTGATACACTTTTGAAGAAAATTTCTTTAAGATTTTCTTGGAAATTGTTTTTACTTTGGTAACCTTCTGACTGCGCTAATAACTACAAATAAGATACATAATTTGATTTTCAGGGTGGTGATACACAGTAAATGTGATTTAAACATTAATAATTAATATTTGCAATGAAAAGCATTATGTTCTGATTTACATTTCAGTGCTGAGACACTTATTTTTGTTTATTGTACTTGTAGCAAGATATTATGTCTAATATAGCCATGAACTCAGATACCAAATTATAAATTTTTTTGGACATGTGTTTGCAAATGTAATATTTTTTTAAATATTGCATATGAAGTTAGGAGTATAGAGAATATATGGTAGAAATATAGCCAGTAGCACAACTGTATATATCGCCTTCCTTCCATTTTTCATAAAACATTGGTAACTCTATGTGTTTGGTTCTTGTTTAGTTTCAGAAATGATCTAAATATTTGGAAAGGTGTGGGATCATGTTCTATTAGAGATTTCAGTGTTTGCTTATGAGAGAAGAAAATATCCTTTTTTTAGGAATGTGACTTCAGAAATTTGGCTTTGTAATTTTCCTGTATAATTATACTAGGAATTTCCAAACAAATTGCAAGAATTTACAGTGCTTTTCCAGATGTGATTGTTAAACAATAATTGGAAGCTCTACAGTAGTATTTTGCCTAGAGTAGACATTAGTCACTGTTGGTTAAACTGAACATTATTTTACTTGATATCTAGTGCTAGTCTCAAAATTAAGGAAAAAACAAAAACATACATTTTAACTCATCTTAGACTGAAGAAAGAGAATGCTCTTCAAAATGTACTTTTGTATAACTTTCAGAAAACTTAACAGTAAAAAAAAAGTATTTTTAAAGTTAAAACTTTCTGATAGTTCATTAAGTAATTTTCCTAACCAGTCTTATAAATTCTGACACAGAAGACTACCAATTTCCGTCAAGCATTTTGCTCATTTTATATTCTGTCTTTATCCTTTCAACATATTTGGAGAATGATGGAAATGAAAGTAAACAGGGAGCAATTGCTTCTCATTTATTTCTGATTTAAAGACACCTTAGCTTCTCCAATGGAATATATATGAAGGATCAGCTTGGTTTATATGCTGAGTGTAGCTCAAATTCATCTTGAGTTCATTTTACTTACTAAGTAAAAGTTGTGTTTATTGTTTCAAGATTATTTGTAGCCATCTTACTTGGACTGTTCAGTTTGCAATTGTAAACTTGATGGCAGGTTTCTTAAATATCTGTGTATTGTTGTTGTTGTTTATTTTTTTAAAGAGATATCCCAAAGTTGCAGATGGCTGGCTCATCTCCAAATACCTCTTCAAGGTACTCTATGCTGGTGATGTCTCCCGCCACTGAGCTGCACGGGAGCATGGAATTGACTTACTGGGGAGGGCTGTATCAGTTAAGTGATCTTTTTTAGTATGTTGCATGGGTTTTGCAAAGCATTCTGTTTTTGTTAATCCAGAGGGCACAGACATATTTATGCAAATTTTAACATTAAAATCTGTGTTGTAAACCCACACAATAATCTGTTTGCTCTCTTTCTTCTCCCTTGTAACCCCCTTCAGATTTCTATTAAGTTTGTGATTTTCATCAAGATTTTATTACTCAGGCATATCTGTCTTATTTACATTTATTCTAACTCTTAGTGATATAAGAATTATTGGTTATTTTCTTAATTTGTAAGTGCTGTGTGATAACGTTGGTATTACATTCAAACTGGGAGCTCAGGGAAGTTATGTGAAATTTTCAAAGCCACTCAGTAAAACTTCCGTGGGTGCTATCAGCAGTACCTGCTTTGCTGAACTTAAACCATTAGTGGGAACATATTTCTTAGTTTCCTTTTTCCCATCTAGAATGCATGCCTTTATACACTTATGTCAAAAATATTTTACTGAACTCTGTTGTATACAAAACACAGCTAGGTTTCTGTACTTACACCTAGATTTTTATTATATTTTTTAATTTGAAGTGAAATGCAGTCATTATTTTTAAACATTATAGTAGGACAAAAGATATAAAGTAGAAGACAAATATTTCCTCAATTCTGGTTTCACAAGTAATCATTTTAATCACTTTCTTTTGTTGTGTCCCTACATGTAAACTTAACCACTGTTGAAACAAATTACACTTTATTCCTCAGGGCTACACATTTATGTATAGCACTATGTATGGACTTCACCCTTTGGTTCTCTAATTCAATCTACAAATATTTAAGCTTTATGTTAAAAAAAAATGCCAGTGGGAGAAGAAAGAAGAAAGGACTTTTGTACTCTTCTTGAAAAGATGGTAAAATTACTGGGATAAAAGAAAGATCTTGCTGTCATTCAGTTTCCAAATTTTTGGTGAATCTTAAATTTTTTGTTTTTAAGCGTTGACAAATATTTATTGTATAGTTACATACTTTTATTATTTGTGATAAATTCCTTACCAGTGAACAAGACATCATCAGTAACAAAGGAAAATAATTACATTTTACAGATTAATAACTATAATTCATAGTTACTAAATGAAGGTATCCTGTAAGTAATATACAGAGCTGATAGTGTAAATACAATTGAGTAACTTAGGATTAGATTTCTTTTGATTCAGTTTAAAGTATAAATAAAATCATTTTTAAAGTTTAAATTCACATCGTTTTAGAACATTAATATGAGATTTTACTTAGAAAATTAGTCAAAGTCACAAAATAAATATGTACCTTAATAGTAGTACTTTTTATAAAAGAAGACTCTGAACTCCTGCAAAAAAGGGACTTTAGTTAGCAAGAAATGGAAAATATTAAACTGACTTTCATAAATAAGTTCTGATGCTACAAAATTTAAAGTATAAAGTTGAAAGTATGTGAATATTAATTAATGGCAACAATAAATCCACAACTAACCTATCTCCTTTAAGTATCTAAAAACTCTTACAGTAGTCAGAGTGGCTTATTAAAATTTGATGGGACTATCTTTTATTGTTTGTCTAGATGAATAGTAGTTCCAAGGTAGTAGTCTTTGATAATGTCGTCTGAGTGATGTATTGAAATACTAATAGAACTTCAGTTTGTGAGATGTTTTTCATTTGCTATTTACCTAGCTAGACACAATTACAAAGGGTGGAGAGAGGAAGTCACTTAACAGATTCATTTATATTTTATATTATCTAAAGACGATATGTCATTAGCCACCACTTAGTAGAGAATCACTTTAGAAAATTTAGTTCCTGTTCTTAGAAGATCTCATTTGGCCATAAAATAAGATAAAAAATGAACATATTGCATGATATGAATAGATGTCTACCTTATTGAGTATAGGAGCGGTTTGAGAATAACATTGATTCCCAGAAAGTAAGGTTATTTTTTAGATGCTGAAATTTAGGCAGTTTAGTGGAAAATAACATCACATATATGGTTAGTAGTAGGAAGTCTTTTGGACACTTATTTTCTGTGTGTAAAATGAATTAGAGTTGGCCTGATGAAATGGAAATCTATTTTTAAAACACTTTGTCATTGTTAGAAAGCAAAAAAAGGCAATTGCTAAGAACACATATAATTAAAAGCATGTCATACAGTCACAGTCATCAAGATCTTTAAAAGAGAATTTTATTAGTTACAGCTTATCTTTGGAATGAAATTTCTTCAAAATATAGACTGGTCAGTTTTATGCTGTGTGATTGCCTTCTGTAGTTATTTTTTTTTAAAGAAAATGGGACTATCTTGGGAGTTATTTTTTTCAATAGTTGTTTTTAAAGGTATAATCGTCTTTTAGCTTTGCTTTTTCATTTTTTTGTTGGATACTAGTTACAGATTAAAAGTCCACCTTTTATTAGTAGTTTTTCTGTGTTTAAGTAAAAGTGATCTTCAAATAATATCTCAACCAATTGAACCCTTCTATTAAATTAAATCCTTTTCATAGATGTAGAAATTATTTAAATAAAATTTTAGGATATACAAACAATTTACTTGGGAATTTGTTTGAGGGTTCTGAGTTTATAAATTTCATTATTTTGAACTAAGAACTTCACTTTGGAAATGATGCACATGGTATAAAAAGGAAGGCAGAATCAACCAAGTCGTTTTCACATTTAGTCTGTTGGTTTATTTAAGATCCTACAAGTCATAAAAATATGTCATTCTGTTAGTTGTTTAGTTTCTCAGCTTGTAATGTAAGAGGTCTTGTTGTTATCTTTTGGGTGGAAGTCTTGTAGATAGCATAACCTATCCATAGCAGGAAAGGATTTAGTGTCTCTTCCTTCTCTGTTTATCCTAGGCCTACATTTTTAGTTTTTGTATAGATTTGTTTCCTTGCCTCCAAATGGTACTTTATTAAATTCTTTTGGTATCTGACAGCTCTACTTTAAAACATCTTGTAAATGGTTTTCCTTAGTGTAGGGTAAAGAAAATGTCAGGCTTTTCTGCCCTTCCGCCATCAGGATAGATGATGGATCCTTGTCCTGAATGCATGCCTGATGGCGGGCACCTGGAATAGGGTGTGGGCATAGGTAGATGGGATTCAGCTGAGTTAAGACTGTGCTTTTAAGGGCGGCGTCTCGGGGGGACGCCAGCAGCCCCAGCCAGCAGCAGCAGAACCTGAAGGAGAAGCCGACGCAGAAGCAGAGAACGCCAGAGAGCCCAGATAGAGTAAAGATTTGCTGGGGGCTGGGAGGCCTGCCAGCCTCCCAGCCCCCCAGCCAGCACCCCTGCCTGCCATATGCCTGGTGAACCCCAATAAAGGACCTGCAAAACTACTGAGGACTCTGACTCCTCCTTTACCCGGTCTGCATGGGATCAGAAAACCTGCACTCTGCCAATTCCTGCCCCTACAATTGGCGTATGTCGGCAAGATCCATGCAGACGGGTATTGGAGCCCTCCGAAGACCTGGAGGGACTAAGGAGAACAGACTTTGCCTGTGACGACGCTGGAGGCACCATGGCGGTATAGAAGATGGATACGTCCACGAGCTACAGGATGAGACCTGGCGTGAAGGAGACGCCCGAAAGGACCAGCCAACGACACCGGAAAGGACCAGCCAACGACACCGGATAGGACCAGCCAACGACACTGGATAGGACCAGCCAACGACACCAGATAGGACCAGCCAACGACACCGGAAAGGACCAGCCAATGACCCCTGAGGCAGCAGGCCATTGCTGAAGCAGGGAGAGGCCAATGGACTGATAGACTGATTAACTGATGATTTTGGACTGACAATCCCGCCAGAAGGCGGAGGACCTTAGCAGGTTGTTTATTTTTTGAGAATCTGGGGGTGGCCAGTGGGCCTAGATGGCCAAAAGCAGCCTGTGTATGCCCAGTGGCCAGGTGGAGGAGAAAAGCCAACTAAGGTGGCAAAAGCTGGTACTGATGCTAAGTTGAGAAGCCCTAAAGCGGCTGTTAAGCAGCCTGGGTATGCTGAAGCCCTGTGAGTCTCGTAAAATCACCTATGGGTGATGCCCTGCTCATTCTTGAGTGAGGGTGAGGAGCTGAGGAGCCCGTCCTTGGGGGACGGGTGGGGAATGTGGCTTGGGGTGGAGCCCAAGCCAAATGCAAAGTTTGGATCCCCAACCCATGTGCTTGTGCAGTGGGTTGGCTTGAGAGCAGGGGTCTGTGAGTCGCATGGGTGGCCATGAAGGCCGAGTGTTGGAGCGACTGCAGACAGAAACCCTGAGGGTTGGCGATTACCCCCAACAGAATAAAATTGCCAATCCCAGAGCTAGTGCATCCTGGGGGTGGATGCTGTGTGTGCCTTGTAGCCTAGACTACAGCCGGAGAAGGCCAGGAAGCCTGACGGCTCCTGGTATGTTATAGTAGATGCCGTGAGTGATTCCCCTCCCTTATATGAGCAGTGCCTTCGGCAGCAGATTTGGTGGCTCATCTGCTGGTACCAATAATTGTCTTTTGCACTTGGTTGGTGCCCTGCCTGGACTTATTTGTGTTCTGTTGTATTTTGTTATATTGTATTTTGTTATATTTGATGTATTTGCTTTTGTGGGCCATGGCTGCATTGTTTGTTTGCTTAGAAAATTGTATATACTGTATTGTATAGACTGTATGGCAGAAAATCCTGAGGGGGTGGACTGTAGGGTAAAGAAAATGTCAGGCTTTTCTGCCCTTCCGCCATCAGGATAGATGATGGATCCTTGTCCTGAATGCATGCCTGATGGCGGGCACCTGGAATAGGGTGTGGGCATAGGTAGATGGGATTCAGCTGAGTTAAGACTGTGCTTTTAAGGGCGGCGTCTCGGGGGGACGCCAGCAGCCCCAGCCAGCAGCAGCAGAACCTGAAGGAGAAGCCGACGCAGAAGCAGAGAACGCCAGAGAGCCCAGATAGAGTAAAGATTTGCTGGGGGCTGGGAGGCCTGCCAGCCTCCCAGCCCCCCAGCCAGCACCCCTGCCTGCCATATGCCTGGTGAACCCCAATAAAGGACCTGCAAAACTACTGAGGACTCTGACTCCTCCTTTACCCGGTCTGCATGGGATCAGAAAACCTGCACTCTGCCAATTCCTGCCCCTACACTTAGTCTGTGAAACTCGTGAGAAGGTTTAAAATTAATTCCCCAGTCAAACATTGTGATTCTCTCTTTTAGGATCCCTGTCAGTATTTTAGTATCCATTTCTTGAGAGAAATCTGATAGTTGTAGTTCTCATTTGAAAAATATGGAATGATATAATTAATAGGAGCCAGAGGAAATTAGTTGAAACTAAAAACATTTGGGGGAGGCAAATATATGGGAAAAGTTTGAATTAAGGAGAACATTTTAAAGATTGTTTTTTTCTAGATTCTAACCAAGTATGGGAAAAAGCTTAACTTTATATCTCATTTGCACTTTGTGGTATAAGAGGAGTTTGAGTCCCTTAACTGTTTGTATGATAATAGTGGTAAATTACAATAGTATAATTGTTAACATGTGTATTATATTAATTTCTAATTACTGCATGCATATTATCTAATTTAATCCTCATAGCAGTTATCAGGTAGGTTCTACCATTATTGTTAACTAATAGAAGAAACTTAGATTTGTAAAGTGACATTATTTGCTCAAGATTGTATAGTTAGAAAGTAATTTAATTCAGTTCCATCCAACTCAAAAGCCCGTAATAGCTTTTTTTTTTTTTAATTAAGGTTACATTCATTTACAACACTGTAAGTGTTGGAGTACATTTCAGGAATACATCTTCTCACCTCAGTAACCACATATATGTTATCACACCCAGCACTAAAGGTCCAGTTACTATCCACTAGTCAGCCCTTTCTCCCACTCCTTCCTCTCTCATAACCACCATTCTTTCATCAGAGTCTAAGGTTTTGGTTTTGTTTATATTTTGTTTGTTCATTTGCAAAAGCCCATATTCTTTTTTTTTTTTTAAGATTTATTTATTCATGCATACAAGAACTGGGGTACAGGCCAGATGTGCAGGAGGGTGAGAGGATTCACCAGAGACAGAGTGGGGAACAGAACAGGCAGACTGACTGAAATACACTGCTGAGGGGAGCAGTGGGTGAGACAGGAAGGTCCGCTGCACCGTGTGGGTATCTCCCCTGCCAGCCGGGATCGAATCTGCACTGCAAAGGCTGTGGACAGCTTCACAGCACTGCACTCAACTGTCTGTGCCACCAGGGAGGCCCAAAAGTCCATATTCTTAACCATCAACATTCCTGTCTCCTCCCACATGGCTAACAAGTTGATGACATGAAAATTGCCTTAAAGACAAACTCCACTGAGGTACTCTACTGTGAATTTTTTGTTTTTAACTCAAAGAAGATAAGGGATAAAAGAAAGTGATGGGTAAAAATTGAGAGGAAGAAGGGAGAGTATAAACATTCCTGTAGATTTTTATTTGTAGGTAAGACAGGTTTAACTTTTAAAGAGATGTAAAAATACATAGGCGTTTGAATAAGAATTTGTAGATTTTCAATATTTTTTAATATTCTTATTTATATATACTAAAGGTAAATGTACTTGTCTAGAATTTTTAATATTTGTAGTTAGCCATACAGACATCTTAATGCCAGATAGCACTGCAATTGTTACTAGAAAAAGATACATACTTTGCAAATAAGATTACCTGTTTTATGCTAACTTACCAAAACATTTGTTTAATAAGTATTTATTGAATGCCTACTGTGATCCAATGTGTCAAGCACTGGAGCTTGATTTAAAGACAATTAAGAAACAATCCCTGCCTTACTGATTTTACAACCTAATATTGGAGACAATCAAATGTATAGAAAATTATGAGGAAAGTAAGCACAGATTGTTATGTCAGCACATAAAGAGGGAATCAACCTACTGTATAGATCACTTATGGTTTATCAGCAGAGGAGGTCTTTAAAATGTCCTAAATTATAAGACTACCTATATTATGTAAGATTTCCATTGGTTGATTAACCATAAATATATTAGAAATATCATAAGGATCTTTTTAAAAATACCAATCCCATAGCCCCTTCCCTAAAGATTCTGATTATTTAGTTGGAATGAAACCCAGGCATGAGTATTTCTTAAAAGAGCCCTGTTATTCTTATGATTGTGAACTACTCAGATGCCATTTCAGGCAATTCTCCTAAAATATTGTTTGTTGACAAAACTCCTAGTGATGTTGTGGGAGAGAAACTATTACTGGGGAAAGGAAGATTTATTTTAATTAGTTCAAAACAAAAAAGCATAGATTTAATAATATAAAAGCAAATCTTTATACATTAAGATTAAAACAACTTCCCTAGGTAAGAATAATCTTGACAGACAGCTGAAGAAGGTATTAAGATATCGCTCATATCCTATTTAAAAACAACAACAAAGGATAAGACAATACTAAACCAAAACAAACCCTAGAAATCTGACTGTAGAATTAAGTCTATTGAGTAGGAAGGTGAAGGGTAGGGAGCAAAGTGGGAGGGGGGCACTGGATTATGGTAGAGGATTATTAAAGTTTTTGTAGTGGGTGAGGTCTGGTTACACATCTGAGGAAGCATGACCCTATTCCCTTAAATTGTACAAAGTTTTGTAAACAAACATTACCTCAATAAAAAATAATAGTTAAAAAAATTTTTTTAAATACTAAGAACAAAATTGTTCTGTCAACCTAGTACGCAGACGCTGCATGGTTCTGTAATATTAATATAAGAACATTTGTTCCTGAACAGACATGTAACTGCCCACATCTCAAAAAATTAGAATGGTACATGTCCACAGGACTTTTTCATGGGTTGGAACTAGAAAGGAGCAGATGAATGATGATATGGAGCTTTATGGCTTTATAGATGAGAGTAGTAGGAGATACATGAAAAGTTAGTAAAAGTAGCATTCTGGTTGATTATATAGTAGAGTAGACCACATATTGATTTATTTCTTTTAAATATCCCTATGCAGTAGAGGAAAGGTTTTTTTCTTTTCTTTTCTATTTCTAAGTAGAGAAAACTTTAGAATTCAGCTGTTGACATTTAAACTGGACCGCAGTAAAGGTTTTCTGTGTACTATCCAACAGACTATATTAGAACAGATAGATATTAAGCTGCAAGACTTTTTTTAGAGTCTAGTCTCCTTTTTATTTCATTTTGTTTTATTCTTAAAACACTATAATCAAAGTTATATAGTTTTTTTTTTTTTAAGATTTATTTATTTATACAAGAACCAGGGCAAAGGCCAGATGTGCGGGAGCATGAGAGAATTCACCAGAGACAAAGTGGGGAACAGAACAGGCATACTGACAAAATACACTGCTGAGGGGAGCAGCGGGTGAGACAGGAGAGGATGCTGCGCCATGTGGGATTCTTGCTGGCCGGCCGGGTTCGAACGCACGCTGCAGAGGTTGTGGACAGCTTCACAGTGCGATGCTCAACCATCTGTGCCACCAGGGAGGCCCTATATAGTTAGTTTTACAGCTAGTTAAACTTATAACAGGACTAGATTGAAGACTTTTTACACCAAAGTTAGTACCCTCTCCACTAGAGCATGCTATGTTATCTTTTATTTTTCAGAATTTTTGTGTTCCCGTTTTTTTGAATTTTCTAGTCTAGTTTTCTTTTATTTTGTATCACAATTTGTCTCCTGAAGGTCAAGTAACCTGGTTTGGTTATGAAAGTCCACGTAGCTTCTGGGACTATATCAGAGTGGCTTGCCGGAAAGTTTCACAGAATTGTATCTGCAGCATTGAAAATATGGAAAATGTCAGTTCCTCTAGAGCTAAGGTAAGATATCAATAATAATATGCAGCATATTTAATCTAATTGTAAGTGGTTTTGAACCAAAGGGAAAGTTGTTTTTTTATGTTGTATATTTTTTTCTTTGTTGATATTAAACACTTGATCAAATTTAACATCTTTCAGAGACCTATTTCCTTTTCTTTTAAATTGCATGTAGTTATTTTAGAAAGTTCTTAAATCTTTATTGTTTCCTTATGAATAGTAGGATGGTACATAGCTAGTCACTTTAGAAAGCATAATACAGTGTTTCCTATTTCATAAAGTTTCTACATTTTATGAATAATCTAAATCTGTTATGTAGAATCCAGAGAGTCCAAAATGTCAAAACTGTTTTCATTAAAATCAAGATATTATTTGCCTTTTGCACTGTGTTGATATTGTCCTACTAAGCAGAAGCAATGGTGAATAAAACTACTGCTGCCTTAGCATGAATTAAAGCAGTGGCATCAAACTATACCAGCTGCATTTGAGTTCTTTACTACCATGCACTCAGTCAAAAAAAAAAGAGAAAGAGAGAGAGAGAGAGAGAGAGAGAGAGAGAGAGAACGAAAGTCCCATTTTCACTTATATTTTCAATATTCTGAGTGACAAAATAGAAGATATGCATAAAACAGTATATTGAAATATTGCCTCAAGGAAATACACACATATAGTTCTTTGAGTTGTGAGCCAAGCATGAAACTTTTTTCCATGCAAAACTCTTTTTACTTGAAGAAAAGTCTACCTTTGAATCATATACAGTGTTGTATATATTACATCAATAAAAGAATAATAGAATAGAAAAAGAAAAATCTACAAGCTATATATTTTTAGACTTAAGCATTTGCTTTAAATAAAAATGAACAGAGTAAGCCTGTTACTTCAAGGACAACAGCTGACAGTATTTGTTGTCAATAGTAAAATAAAAGCTCGCCAGTAAAAATTAGTAACTTGGAAAACTTGTATTCACCATCTTAAATTTTATATCTTTTCAGAAATAAACACTTTTCTGATAACATTGGTGGCAAAATTAACAAATGCATTTTTTACTGGTTAATGAAATGTGTCAACATTTGGTAGACCTGCATGTCTCATTTTCCAAATGACTGATGCATGGAATTACAAAATCATGTATGGTTAAAAGATCTTTTTAAATAGAATATGGACTGATGAATTTAGTGTAAGGTAGTATGAAAAGTTCATTGATGTGGTTATAGATTCCATGTTGCAATTAATTTTAAAAAATTATCACTTACTGAGTTTTGATATAAAATCATACTATCCAGTTATCTGAAAAGGCTATTAAAAGACTCACTTTTTCAATGGTATATCTTTGTGAGACAACATTTTCCTCATATATTTGAATCAAAAAATACATTGTAACAGATGAAATGCAGAAGCAGATCTATTACTCTCTTTTCCCTAAGTCATTTTAAAGATTTGAAGTATGTAAAAAAGAGCCACTTTCACTAATATTTTTGTTTAGAAAAAAATGCTTCCATAAAAATACTAATGCAATGGGTTAATTATTTTTATTTGGAATAACCTAATATTTTTAAGTTTCCTGTTTTAAATTATAAAATAGTAAATATTGATAAATATAACCTATATCAAAGCTTTTTTGGGGGTTCTCTAATATATTTAAGATTGTGAAAAGTCTAAGCTGCTGATAATAAGCTTTATCAGCTTTTTGTTTTTTTATTGGATTTCCATAGTAGCTTTCCTTACTATTTTTGACACTTAAGAGAAAAAACAATTATAAAATGAAATGTAAATTGAATATAAAGATTACAAATGGATGTACAGTTTAAGACCAAGGCATCATTCATTATTTCATAATTATAAGTTTATAAATTACATATTTTTATAATAAATATGTCAAAAGAATAGTTTCTAAGTTTATTATTCCTAAGTTTATTATTTCTAAGTTTATTATTCTAAGTTTATTATATAATAAATATGTTAAAAGAATAGTTTCTAAGTTTATTTTTCCTGCACTCATTGTTATTTAGGAATTTTTTTCTTTTGGAAAAATTTTGTTTGGTAAAATTGAAAATTATATGTCAAAATTTAATAAAATAATTTGTAAAACATCAACTTGATATCTTATTTTTAAAAGATGCTATTTATAAAATTTAAATTTAGTGACAATAATTAAAAATGTAGCTAAAACATATCAAACTTCATAATATGGAAAAGTACAGATAAAGTTGATAGCTATGATTTTTGACATCTTTTGAAGACTCTGAGAGGCAGAAGAATATTCAGAAGAGACCCCCAAATACTAGAACTTCACAATAATATGTAATATTGCAAAGAGATTGCTTTAATGACCACTTTCTATTATGACTCATAAAACTTTATCTCCTCTTTTAACCACCACTTGACATTTCCTGTCCCCAGTTCTGATTGTTTTATACTCTATTCATATTAAATACTAATTTCATACGAATTTTTGTGAAATACTGTTTTCCTCATATTGTGCCTTTTCTGCACTTCTCATGGGTAATTCCAGTGCCCAGTAGCTAAATTACTTTAGTTCTTTACTTTTTATCCATATTCAGCAAGTGTTTATATTGAGTGTGTCAGAAATTGTAAATACATAGGATACAGTGACAATGGTGAAAAAGATGACCAAGAAACAAGTGATATGTATATTGCTTTTCATTAATGCAACAAATATGTATTTAATCTCAGAAAATAAAACTAAAAGGTTAGAAAAAGAAATGGTGGAAGAGGGAAGATTGGATAGTTAGGGATGCCTTCTACGAAGAAACATTTGAACCAGGATGTGACTAATTGGAATTGTGCTGTGCAAATCTTGACCAACTCTTTGTATCTTATGAATGAGAGTTTGTAGATATATAATGCAAATAGATTTGTCTGCTTTGTGGTTTGTCTTTTCACTCTCTTAAATGATTTTAGTTCCCCCCTGAAACATAGGGAAATGTATGCATGAGTATTAATTCAATGAGGTTGGTTGGTTTGGCTCTGAGAAGATGCATTTCCTGACTTACAGTTGTTTCTTTGTTTTGTTTCTTCATACATAAGGTAGTGACCATGGTGTAACCTAACTCCCACAACTCTTGGGAAGATTAAGTATCTTTATGTATTATAAAGTTCTTAAAACAGATCTGTGTGTGTGTGTGTGTGTGTGTGTGTGTGAGTGAGTGAATTGCATTCTTTATATATATGCAATTGATATATATTGTTCTATCAATTGTTTTATCAATTGATATATATAACAATATATATCAATATTTATAAATATTGAGTACTGTTATTGACTTTTTTCCCCCAAAAGCCTTCAACAGCCTTCGTCATTATTTAGCTGATAGAGTCTAAAACATTAAACCTATTTTGCTACTTTCCACTTAATGGACACAACAGACTTTATAAGGCTGTTTGCCTTTTGTTCTATCAGTTTTTTTGTTGAAAGAAAAGAGCCGTTAAAATTAGAACAATTTATTATCACAGTCTAATGAAAAATTCCACAAACATCCAGGGACAGGAAACTGGGTGCAGCCCAGTTTTGTATGGGTTGAAATTAATAAATTTGGAAACAGGGCTTTCTCCACATTTCTTATATAGCAATAGCACAGTCTCCTTTGTCTAACTTTCTGGAGAACAATTTTCTCTGCTTTTGTACTGGTGAAATTGTAGCCTTTTGATTCAAAACCCCACTACTAGTGTCTGAATCTTTTAAATGAAATGTTAAGAGAGAATTTGGAGATTGCTGGCTAGGGACTGACTTGCCTCTTCCTTTTTCTGTTCTAATCAGGTAATTGTAGGTTCTAAACTTACTAAGAAGGACCTATGAACTAACAGGTACTGGGCAAGCTGAAAGTGAGTGTTGAGCCTGGCAGGCAAACTGGATGGCATACTGACTACACTCATATCATTCCTTTTTTTTCCAATACTACTACTGCTTATAGTATAGCCTTTCATTACATTCTTATTTTTTTTATTCTAAACAAAGAATCCAGAAGAAATGCTTTGGATTATTTAAAAAAAGTTAATTCACTAGTCCCAACTATTGAAACGATGTCACGCTTTTTCAAAAGTAAAATTTGATTATTCATATTTAATATTTTCTGTTTCTGTGATTATGTGCTAGAATATTCATTTTGAGGCATTTTTGTTGTTCGTTTTTTTCTGATTTAAATATTCAGTAGTAGTTTTTAGTATTCTCTGGGGTTAACTCATGATTTGTATGCATGACAAGTAATGAAATTTCAGGTTCATTATTAATTGCATAAACTTCCATCTGGAACAATAGGTAGGAAATTGTTTCACACACTGATGTGAGTATAATGATTTTTATTAACAAGAATGAAATCTGTTCCTCATGTTTTATAAGGGAACACAATTTTAATTAGCATGTTGATTTTGGGTGTTGAAGTAGAGAGTTACAACTTAAATTACATTATATGATTCAAAAGTTTTCTCTAACACAAGAAATTCAATAGTAATGGTTCTGTTCCTTCAGAGGATAGAAAGTTAATCTGACATTCTGTACCCTCTACCTTCAGAGAAACAAAATTTGTGATTATATATAATTAAAATTTACCTATTTTATCTACTTAAATATTTTCTCAATCTTTATTGTGTATTCTGAATGAGTTGTTCTTTACATATTGAAATGCTTATGATTTTTGATGCCACAGTGGGCAAAATATTTTTAACTTACAATTTTTTTCATATTGATTCTTTCTTTCTTCCTTTTAGGGTAGAGCCTGGATCAGAGTAGCACTCATGGAAAAACATTTATCTGAATACATCTCTGCAGCCTTGAGAGACTTCAAAACAACCAGGTTTAAAAGTCCTTTATTTTCAAATATATATGTGAAAAAGTCCTCTAAAATTTTAAAATAAGAATAGAATGAGGCATCATTCCATTTCCAAAATCTTCAGCTATTTTATTTCCCCCCTTTTTTTTTGTACTGCTCAGAAAAACCCATATTTTCTCAGGAAAATATAATATGTCAACTAAACATACATCTACCTTGGTTTATCTTTTCAGGCTTGAGATTATGCCTGGAATCTCGTATCTGAATTATTTCCAGTTCCTTCTCTTTCAACACTTAAAGTTTCATTCTCTCCACAGACTTTATTGGCCAGTTTGAAGAAAAGCCTAACTGTGAAATTTCTGTGGTACTCCTTTTCTTACCACATTACAACATTTCTTTCTTTTTTTTTAAAGATTTATTTATTTATTTATTTTTATTATTATTATTTTTTAATAGAGACATGTTATTTATTTATTTATTTGTTTGTTTGTTTTGTTTATACATGCACTGGGTACAGTCAGAAGTGCGGGAGGGTGAGAGAATTCATCAGAGCCAGAGCGGGGAGCAGAACAGGCAGGAGGACCGAAGTACACTGCTGAGGGAAGCAGCGGGCGGCAGGAGAGGTCTGCGCGCCATGTGGGACCCTCCTCTGGTGGCCGGGGAGCAGCTGGGGATCGAATCGGCACTGCAGGGGCCGCGGGCAGCTTCGCAACCCAGTGCTCAACCGCTGCGCCACCGGGGAGGCCCTAAAGATTTATTTATTTTTATGCAAGAACTGGAGTACAGGCCAGAGGCGCGGGAGGGTGACAGGATTCACCAGAGACAAAGCAGGGCTCAGAATAGGCAGATGACCAAAATACACTCCTGAGGCGAGCAGCGGGCGAGACAAGAAAGGTCTGCCACACTATGTGGGAATCTCCATGACCGGCTGGGAATCAAACCCGTGCTGCAGAGGCTGTGGACAGCTTCCCAGTGCTGTGCTCAACATGCTATACCACTGGAGAGGCCCTACAACCAACCCTCCCTCCCTCCCTCCCTCCCTCCCTCCCTCCCTCCCTCCCTCCCTCCCTTCCTTCCTCCCTCCCTCCCTCCCTCCCTCCCTCCTTCATAAAGACTATAAATAAATTATTTATTTCATTCGTATGTATATATTACTACGTTGTAGTTATGTATAAATTAATGATTGCTCTATTGCCTTTTTAGGGCAATCTATACCAATGTTGTTTTTCTTGGGTTGTATAATAGACTTAAGAGATGATACCCTGGCCCATAGGAAAATAGGACTTCATTAATTTTTTATGATGGAAATAATGCTCATATTAGGGCCTCCCCGGTGGCTCAGCATTTGAGCGCTGGGTTGCGAAGCTGCCCGCAGCCTCTGCAGTGCCAGTTTGATCCCCGGCCACCAGGTGAGGGTCCCACATGGCACGCAGACCTCTCCTGCCGCCCGCTGCTCCCCTCCGCAGTACTTCAGTACTTCTGCCTGCTCTGCTCCCTGCTCTGGCTCTGGTGAATTCTCTCACCCTCCCTCGCTTCTGACTGTATCCAGTGCTTTTATAAATAAATAAATAAATCTTTAAGAAAAATGCTCATATTAGACAACAGTCACTCCTATATTAAAGTCTGGTCCACTGATCAGTTTTTGTAGCTTTTGTTAAATTGTGTTTCTCCCATATCGAAAGCATTTTTAAATATAAGTATTCAATAATGTCAGTGCTTTAGACATGTATTGTTCAATACAATAGACACATGCCACTATGTAAATTAAAATTGATAATGATTAAAATACTAATTCAGTTTTCAGTCACTGTGTCACATTTCAGGTGTTCATTAACTGTGTGTGACTAATGACTATGAAATTGTATAGCATAGAGACAGAACATTTGTTCAATAAAGTTCTGTAATGCCTCATACAGTGCAGCTTCCTACAATTCTAAATTGGTCTACTTATTGCTACCTCAGCTATATTTCTGAAAGAGAGGAAAGAGTGACAACTATACACCAGTATGATGGAGAAAATTAGGAATCTATATAAAGCTATCTTACCTTGAATATTTATTTACAAGTCCTGATACAGTATTTGACATTTCAGATTTTGAGTAAATTTCATCTTTTTTTTTAGTTAATCAACTGATACAAATTATATCTTTACTTAGGAGCCTCTTTGTTTTTAGATAATAAAAGTGTAAGTTTCTCATTTGGTGAGTACAAAATAATCATGTTTATAAATTCAGCCAGGATAAGAGAGTTCTTAACTAAAAGAAGTATCTGTGTTATTGAGATTTATATTTGTTGAATTATTTTAAAGCAACATGATACCATAATATACTTTTGGGATATTTCTATAGATGAACAATGATGACAGGCTTTTAGACATCATTTTTTGAGTTTGCAATGAACTTTAGGAAATGAAACGTGGTTCTTTCATTTATTATCACTAATAAATTAAAGTTTAATTATGAAAGATACTATATATTGAAGCTACTAAGACCTTGAAAATAAAAATAGTATTTGAATCTCATACCTTAAACCTAAAAATCCTAAGTAAAAAAATCAAAACCAGTTTACAATGAAGTCATCTCCCATGCAATGACAAGATTGCATTATAATTATGATAGTCTTTTCAAAATAGAATTTTAAAGCGTTAGTCATCTCTAAATTGCTAGTTTTTTTTTTTAGTTTAGATTGGGTGGGGTAGAAATAATTCTTGAATAGATTACTTTTAGAATTTGTAGTTTAAATATTTAAAAGGAAATGCTTTTTCTTTTGTTCATAGGTGTTAGATATCATTTTTTGATAAAAAGGAAATGATCCTATTCTAAAAATGTCCATGAAGTGAAAATATTCCTGTATAAATTGTGAATTAGCATTATTCAAACAGAAACATGGCTTAGCATATAATATGGTGTATACACTCACAAATACGTGATGTTTATATATTTGCATGTGAATATAGTAGTTCTGTGATTCCCAAGACAGAAGTAGTTATTTCAGAATTCTTATCATTTAAATTATCATTTAAAAATTTTTAAAAAATTAAAAAAACTTATCATTTAAAACACATTTGTGGAAAGACAAGAAATTCTCCCTCATTAAATATGATTTTTACTTTCCCCAAAATCAATCTAGAAACTTTTTAATTATGTTAAAGTAGATTTGATGGCAACCTTTTAGCCAAAACATATATATTTGGAAAATGAGGTTTTTAAAATACTAGCAGACTGTTGGAAAGAATAGTTGTATCTTACTTTATGTCTGGATGCTTCCTGATATAAGTGATTGTAGAACAATGAAATATCTCTAATCCTTAGGACTCTTGAAAGAATCTGAATCAAGTGATTTCTTCTTGTTCTACCCTTCACAGTTAAGGATTAAAAGACATCCTCTTACATGTAATATAAGTATTAATCCCAATACAGAAGGAGAAGGTACATGAACTAAGATGGGGAAGTTTGAAAGTATTGATCAGTGAAAATCCAAAGAAGGATAAGATTGGGTGGAGAATGTGTGGGGAACAGAAATACAATAACTTTTCTTGAAGTACAAGGTGATGGCGCCAAAGTTTATGAGAAATTCATGTGTTCTTTATGCTAAGGTAAAGGATGTCTTGGTGAACAATTGAAAAAAGCCATTGAAGAATTTTATGGTTTAGCAGTTGAAGTATTATTGGAACATAACTAGAGTTGGGAAGTTTGGCAGAGACAAAATTGGAATCCAAGCTTAAAGGAAAAAATGGGGAATTGTTTGGGTAGGTTACTGGAAAGATCTAGAAACAGAGAAGTAAGGAAGAATCTGAATTAATTTGCTTTCAAGATTTAATTTTCCCCCAACCACAGAGTAAAAATTTAATTAGAAAATGTAAGCAAAAGATTGCCAAAGCAACATTTAAAACAACATTAAAGGTATTCTGAGTTAAAGAATTTAAATTAACTAATAGGAAAACAAAGTTAGAGATACTGCCTATAATGACAGAAGTTGTGTTAAGAAATGCTAGTTTTCTTGATATTAAAGTAGGAATAGGAGGATTAAAATATAAAGTAACTTCAAAAATTACTAAACTGTCACAGCTTGAAAAAACCAAGTTGATAAAAGCTTTTTTGAATTATAGAAAAGTAGATAGAATAATGACAAATTAACATTCTTTCAAGAACTAAGAAAGACTTGGTATCTGAATCTGTCTGAAAGCTTTACACTATGAAGATGAAAAAATAAACATTATTAAAAGGTGCTTATGGACTGTTGCCTCACAGCTTTAAAAGATTAACTCAAAATTGGTCAGATTTAAATGGAAAACTTTTAGAAAATAGCATAGATAATAAATCTTTATGATCATACAGTAGTCAGTAGTTCCCTAGATATGATACTAAATACATAAGCAACAAGAGAAAATATATAAATTGGATAGTTAAAGATTAAAAACTTAGTGCTTTGAAGAATGCCACCAAGAAAGTAAAAAAGACCCACCAAATAGGAGAAAAAAATTGCAAAGCTTGTATATGGTGTCTACTGTACACACACACACACACACACGCTATAGTAATATAATGGATATATATTTGTATATTATATATAGGAACTCTTACAACTCAATAATTAAAAAAGTAAACAATTTTAATTGGCAATAAATCTGAATAGACATTTTTCCAAAGAAGATATTCAGGTGACCAGCAAACACATGAAAAATGCTCAACATCATTAGACATCAGGGAAATTCAAATCAAAACACAATGAGATACCACTGAACACCCACTATGATGACTATAGTGACAGAACATGTAATAACAAGTTGGCAAGGATCTGGAAAATTGGAACCCTCATACATTGATGATATGAAAGTGAAATAATACAAGTTTGAAAATCAGTCTTTCTATTTCTTAAAAGGTTAAACAGAATTACCATATGGCCTGGGACATGACTTTTAGTTATAGAGATGCAGATACAGAGATATAGATAAAATCTCTAAGTAAATTGAAAGCATGTTCACAAAATATGTGTTCTCAAATATTCACAACAGCATTATTTATGGCAGCCAAAAGTGGAAGCAACCCAGTGGTCAATCAAGTGATGAATGAGTAAATAAAATGTGTATTCCAGACAGTGGAATGTTACTCAGTTGTATGAAAGGATCAAAGTTCTTCTTCTGCCCCTTCTAGTGTTTGTATGAGTGTATGCCCTTTCATAAAGACCAACAATCTTATTAATTTGAAGGTTAATGGCTGGATGGTACTGTGGTGAGATATAAGATTAAGAGGTATACACCACTTAGTAAATCTACTGTGAATGACAGTGTTTGGCATGAAACAGATCAGATTCCAGTTTAAGGGTAGTCAGTCAACACAACAGACACTTCTTACACAGTTGCAGATGAAGAATGATGATGCAATACTGGTGATGTTTATAGCAGCAGGCAGAAATTATCTACTAGGGAGGGAACCTGCTACTTTGTTCTAGAATTATTCCTATAGACCAAGAATACATTCTCAGTTAGAAAAATAACAATTTGACTTTACTACATCCTGATTACTTTAGTATAGTTTTCTTTCATCCATTTATTATTCACAAATCAACTGGTGTATGTACATCATAAGCATATTGCTTTTTTTATCAAGTGTCCATTGGTATGTTTTGATAAATGAAAGTGGGGTGGGGAAAAATCACTGCTTCCTTCTCCATTGGCAGTATGATCAATTTATTCCTTTCTATTACAATAAGTTATTTTGTTTTTACTCTTCAAAAAAAAAAGAATAAGGTAAAAATATTTGTGTACCTTATTTAATTGGGAAATTTAATATTTCTCATTTATCATTGAAAAACCAAAGATGATTTTATGTTTTTGTGCATAGCCATTATATATAGAGTGCTATATATTTAAGTGGGAATAAATTACTCTTAAAAGAAATGAATCCTAGAAACTTTTCTACTCAAGTGTTTTGTTATCTAAACAAACTCTTTTCTTTTTTTTGAAAGGAAGGAATGAAATACAGATACATGTTATAACATAATAAACTTTGAAAAGATTATACTGTCAAGCCAGTCAGGAAAGACCAGATAGTGTACACAACAAATTACATGAAATGTTCAGAATAAATCAGTACAAACAGAAAGTATATCAGTGATTGTGGGTAGGGTGGAAATGTACAGGTTTGAAGGAAAATGGGATGTGATTGGTAATGGATACTTGATACCTATTCTAGGGTAATGAAGGTATGTTACAATTGGTTGTGACAATTGCACATCTCTATGAATATATTAAAACCATTGACTTATACTTTAAATGGTGAATTGTATGGTATGTGAATAGTATCTCAATAAAGTTTTAACTTTTTTTAAATTATTGAAATTTTATGTCAGGTGGGAAAATAATTCAGGTTTTTATAACTGAAGAAAGAGAAGTGAGTTTTCTTGCATGGGGAAAATATAAAACGTAAGACGTTCACTTAAAAGGTGATTGATATTCAATTTTTGTCTTTTTGTCTTGTCTATGAAAATAATTTTACACCTATTAAATATATGAAAGGACTTTTATTAATTTTGTTTCAGACATTTGTCCTTGTTTTTAAATTTGTATACAAGCAATAATTCCACATTTTCCTGGACACCAGAAAAAACTTCAGAATTTTTTCTATAGTAATATAAGAATAATCTTCCTGGTGTTCCATACAGACATGTGACCTGAGAGTAATAAGTACTCTAACTTTTAAAATTGCTAATTAGAAAGAACTAAATATTTATTTTGACATACTAGTACAAGATCTCCTTTCAGAATTGAAACTTTATAAATTAATGGTGTTATTTCTATCACCAAGCACACCTTAGCCATATTATCTTTTGTGTTTTCTTACAGTGTGGCATGTCTCTTCTATCAGAGCTACTTTCTTCTGGATTCTATTCCATTACATTTTCCTTTACCTTTCCCAGCAGTCTCCCACTGCTGAGTCATGTCTACCCATGTGGAAATATATGCAGTAATCTCCTCCCCTAAAAAGAAAAACTATTGAACCTGTATTACCCACTACTATTGCTCATTTACATGTTCTATTTCATCACCAAACTTTTCAAAAATGTCTATATACACTGTCATTTTCTTATCTTAGAATCACTCTTGTATCCACTTTTGTCTAGCTTCTGCTCTAAATAGGAGAGAACTATATTTGCATTAAATTATATATAATAAGAGAAAAGGTGTTATTTTTATTGGAATGTTATTTTTAAAGTATGTTTGTATTGTCTTCAGACTTTTTTTTTAAAGATTTATTTATTTATGCATACAAGGGCTGGGGTACAGGCCAGAGGCATGTGTGTTGTGGGGGCTGGTGAGAGAGGATTCACCAGAGACAGAATGGGGAACAGAACAGGCAGATTGACCTAAGTACACTGCCGAGGGGAGCAGGTGAGTCAGGAGAGGTCTGCTGCGCCATGTGGGTTGCTCCCTAGCCAGCCAGGGATTGAACTCGTGCTGCAGAGGCTGCAGACAGCTTCATCGGCTGCGTGCTAACCCCTTGCGCCACCAGGGAGGCCCTGGGATGTTATTTTAAATATTTCTCTAGTTTCTAATATTTTCTAGTCAACATACAATTAATTTGAATAAGAAGTGGTGGCTTTCAGATCACAGTAATAGCAAATTTGTCTTCTAAAATACATATTTAAAGATAGTCTACTATACACTTGTGACTGGTTGGGATACCTGAAAAATTAGGGACCAAGTTAATAGACTATTTTCATTTGCAAAGCACATTTCATAGCACTTTTGAAAACAAATGTCATCAAAATTTTTCCTTCTAGGAATTACTAGGCGGAAATCTCTTAAGACCAAATTTCAAGGTGGACTCCACATTCATGTTCTTACAATTCTATTTATCAGCTTCTTCCCATCCTATTACACCTGAAAATGGAAGATTAGAACAATTAAGAAGGACTCATCTGACCACACTTAATCTAGACTAAGATATGGTCTTAAAGCTCCCTAAGTAAAGGAATTATCTCTGATTCATTTGCACACTCCCCCCTAACAAGGCCTTATACTGTACCCTACAAGTACTAGGCACTTAACAAATATTAAGATTTTTTTCAGTTTTAAACTGGTGTTATCTCCACTAAAAAAAAATACAGTCAGTAAAATTTTTATTATTAAAAAATTAAACTTGGGAACAATAAATACATTTTTAAAAAATTCCTTTAAAAAATATTCTAAGATAAATAAAGGAAATTTTTTTATATCTTTTCACCTGAATACTTGCAATATTTATAATACTTTCTTGCAACTCAGTACACTGTTTTGGTTAGATCCTTCTCATAAAAATATTTTCTTTAGAACAAAAAATATTTTCAACAAAAGAAAGGGAATTTTTTTTAGTGTATCCTTTACTATTATTGGATTAGTCATCATAGACTTTACTCGGCTCATTTGTTACGTAATCTTGGTTGTAAAAGCAAACTTTATTAATGCTCCAATTTTCTTTGAGATCAAATGAAGAGGCTGAAGCTTACAATCTTTTGAAGTCTTTAAAAGTATTGATAATAGGAATCAGATTTTCAGTCAAAATTATTGATATGTTGGTTTGATTAAGGAAATAAAGAATTAATTTTTCCTATCAGCTTCTGTTACTTAGTGCAAGTGAATGACTTAAGTCTTTGATTATTTGTTAGTATCTTTTTTAGATCATTTCAATTTGGTACTTTTTTAAATGATACATTGTTATTTTTAAAATATGTAAAACATAGAAGTGTAATTTGGGGGAAAAATGCTTTTTTTCTTAACTAGAACTAATAATGAAAACATTAGCATACAGTGGACAGTTTTGTTAACTAGCTCTTCCTCTTCCATTCTCTCTTCCTATTGCAGTAAGGACATATTAAATCAGGTTTGCAATACTATGTTTCAAGAATAGTTTCATTTAAATAGAATTATTGATTTCATATATAGCAAACATTTCACTTCTATTGGTTAGCTTAAGAAATGATTAGTAAAACTAAAGGCCCCAAAATTCATTGGAACAGATGAATACTTCAGATGCAGCCATCTTGGTAGCCTATTAGCCCTACTAGTATTTCGTTGTTAAAGGTTTGCATAAATTAGTAATGATTGAGTTAATAACTTGAAATTAAAGAAAAAATGTATTTCTTCACTTTAGAGAACAATAGTCTACATAGTATGGAAAACAGGCCAGTATAAATGACCCCAAATTTGTACCTTTTCTGATTACATTTGTATTGCCTCACTATTAGGGAAAATTCTAGGTACTGTAGGCCCAGTCAAAGATTCACTTTGGAGATTCTTTTTAAGATAGATGGAAATTCTTTGAATGATTTTTTTGTTCTTACATGGAAGTTTTTTTAAATTTTCCTAAGTGTCTAAATGACTTAGGTGATCCAAGTATTTTTTTTTATTAAGTAAGTAAAATTTTGTTCTTTCTATTTTAGTTTGAGCTCTAAGTGATTTTGCTAGATGAAACTTAACTCCATTTTTAATATTTATATATTCACCCATTTTTTTTTTCAGGAGATTTTATGAAGATGGAGCAATTGTCTTGGGTGAGGAAGCAAATATGCTTGCTGGCATGCTGCTTGGACTCAATGCTATTGATTTCAGGTACTTAATCTAAATATATTTGTATTTTAAATTATTCCACTTCATAATAGTTTATACTTATGTTGTTTTCTTTCAGTTGTCTAAGTAAAGCACATAGTTGTATATTGATATTTGATACATGTTGTGCCCTTTCAGATGACATCATTTTTCTAAATGGTTTCTAAATACTATTAGAAATGGTTTCTAAATGCTATTAGAAAAGGGATTAATTGACAGGCTTGCTCTCTAGCTTGGGCAAAAAAAATTAGACTATATTACTCCAAGTAGAAAAACCCTGTACTCTGATAGCGTTGGGGAGGTTTTTGGTCTTACCTCTTAGTATTTTTCACCTACTGCTTTAAAATGGAAAGAAATATGCTAAAAAGTAGACTCAAAGCCAGAAAGATTTTCATTATCTCTTGTATTAAGTTCTGACAGATATGCTAGTGTTAGGTATATTACTTGTGTGATGTATCTAGAATATTAAAAATTGCTAATATTTGATTTTGTTATCAACAAAATGAATTGATTTCATGCTAAGATTAAGTATTAAAAATGGACAATGTGAGCTCTTTTTATATTTATGGAAACATTTTATTGACTTTATTTACTTGATCAAAAATTTCACATTATAGGGCCTCCCCGGTGGTGTAGTGGTTGAGTGCTGGGTTGCGAAGCTCCCCGTGGTCTCTGCAGCGCCTGTTCGATCCCCAGCTGCTCCCCAGCCACCGGAGGAGGGTCCCACATGGCGCGCAGACCTCTCCTGCCGCCCACTGCTCCCCTCAGCAGTGTACTTCGGTCCTTCTGCCTGCTCTGCTCCCCGCTTTGGCTCTGGTGAATTCTCTCACCCTCCTGAGCTTCTGACTATACCCAGTGCTTGTATAAATAAATAAATAAATCTTTAAAAATTTTTTTTTTAAAAAAATTCACATTATAATAAAAAAAACCCTGACCATAACAAGAACTCAAACATAAGAATGAAGGAAATGCATTTTTATAGAACATCACTTCAATGTTTAAATGTATTAGGTATGCTACATCACTTAAATATTTAAGTATATTAACATAGTAAGTATAACACTTGAATGAAAACCTGCTTTAAGTCTTGAATTAAAAGTAATGCCCATTTTCACCAAGATTACCTTTTTCTAGCAAACTACTGCCTTTTCAAAGTATTTTTTACTTGATAAGTATAATTTTCCTCTATTTAAAATTTAATAATGTAGTGTGAGGTTGACTAGCTTAATCAGGTTTAAGATGACGATGATAGATGCAATATAAAGGCTGTCTTTTTTATTTCCATAATTGTATTTACTTTTACATAGCATGTTGCTGACTTTGTCTAAATCCTGTACAGAATTTCTTTTTTTAGGTTAAATAAAAGCCAAACTCTAAGTTAAGAATGTGTACTGTTGATATAACAAATTGAAACTGTGTAATTAGCTGAAAGCATAAACTAATTACACGAGTAATGTTTCAGTAAATAAAGGAAAACTCATATAAAGTGTTTCCACTTTGATTATAGCCTTATTCAAGTCTTGAAAGATAACATACACACCCTTGATATTAATATATTACAACAAGAACTTCAACAGGCAAACTTTCCAAAGAAACCAGAAGGTGGGAGTTCATAGAGGGATTTATTCCTTTGAAAGATCAACCTTATAAATATTTCTGTTTATCTTCTTAGAAGATGTACTTTATTCTAATAACAGTAATCATAAAATAAACTTTATTTTAAAAATTTACAGAACTGGATATAGCATCATACAAAACAAAGATTGCTGAATTGGGTAACTGAGAGACTTAGATTTTTTTTTTTACTGACTTTATAGACAGACTTTGGGGAAGTCTTGTTGCCATAGTCACAAAAAGGATAGACTGGAGATTAGATTTTTAGCTTTCTTTTAGGTATAGACTTTTCAGATATTCAAATACTTTAAAAAAGCCTTATTTTCTAGTTAGGTCTTTCTAGGAAATATTCCTTATTAGCTGAAAATTTTTATCTAAATATGAACAGTTCCTTATTTGAAAATTCTTTAGTGATATCTGAAAAGTCCAGTGAAGGGCCTCCCCAGTGGCGCAGCGGTTGAGTGCTGGGTTGCGAAGCTGCCCACGGCCTCTGCAGCGCCGGTTCGATCCCCGGCTGCTCCCCGGCCACTGGAGGAGGGTCCCACATGGCGCGCAGACCTCTCCTGCCGCCTGCTGCTCCCCTCAGCAGTGTACTTCGTCAGTCTGCCTGTTCTCTTCCCCGCTCTGGCTCTGGTGAATTCTCTTACCCTCCCGCGCTTCTGACTGTACCCAGTGCTTGTATAAATAAATAAAAAAATCTTTAAAAAAAAAAAAAAAGTCCAGTGAAGACCAGGAGTGTCAAATATATAAACCAAGGTTGAACAAGTTTCTCAGTAAGTTTTACTTTTATGTGATATGTTTATATAACAGTATATTAATTTTTGCAATGCTTTCTCTTTGAATTGAAGGTAGAATATCTTTATTGAGGAGTTTATTTGTAACAAGTGACATTTAAATTATAAACAAAATATTCACTTGCAATTTGATGAAACAAATGTCTCTTACAAAATATTTTTATAATACTTAAATTTTATTTAAAAATTTCATGTAATAATTTACAAATATATGTAACTCATATGTCTGTTGTCTTAGCTTCTGTTTAAAGGGAGAAGGATTGGATGGCAACTTTCCTGCTGTAATAGACTATACACCATATTTGAAGTTTACCCAAAGGTATTTTGACATTTTTAAATATGTTATTAAAATCTTTAATTGAACATCTTGTTTTGCATTATATTCATCTAATTAAAATGACTTTTTTAAAAAACATTTGAATATCAAAAATCATTCAAAAATACAAATTGTGGTTTGATAGGGATTACATTGTCTGTGTTCTCTTTGGGTAAGATGGCCATTTTAGCAATGTTAATTCTTCCAATCTATGAGCAGGGAACATCTTTCCATTTTTTTTGTGTATTGTCTTCTATTTCTTTTAACAATGTCATATAGTTTTCATTGTATAGTTCCTTTATGTCCTTTGTTAAGTTTACTCCTAGGTATTTCTTTTTTGATGTTTGTGAATGAGGGTGTTTACTTGATTACTTTCTCCTAGTTTTCTGTTTGCCAGTAGGAATGCAGCTGATGTTGTATATTGATTTTTGTAAACTACAACTTTGCTGAACTGATTATTAGTTTTTTAATGGAGTCTTTAGGTTTTTCTGTGTATATTATTATATATTATATCATCTGCAAGTAGTCAAGTTTTACTTCTTCTCTCCTAACTTTGATTCCTTTTATAGTCTTCTCATCTAGTTGCTCTAGCTAGAATTTCCAATACTATGTTGAATAATAGTGATGAAGGTGAGTATTCTTTTCTTGTACCACATCTTAGTGTAGAAGCTTTCAATTTTTCACCATTGAGAGTGATATTAGGTATGAGTTTGTCATATATGGCCTTTATTATATTGAGGTATGTTTCACCTATCCCCATATTCCTAAGGTTTTTCTTTTTTTTTTTTTTTATCACAAATGGACATTGAATCTTATCAGATACTTTCTCAACATTCATTGATCTGTTCATATGATTTTTATCTTTCCTTTCATTGATGTGGTGAGTAATATTGATTGATTTTTGGATGTTGAACTATCCCTGTGTCCTAGAACAAGTTCTGCTTAGTCATTGTGTGTGATCTTTTTAATGCATTATTGAATTTGGTTTGCTAAGATTTTGTGAATGATTTTGTCTCTATATTTGCAAGGGAATTGATGTGTAGTTTTCTCTTTTTGTGATTTCTTTGATTTTGGTATCAGGGTACTATTCACTTCATAAATATGTCTGAATGTATTGTCATTCACTTTTTTGATACAGTTTGATGAGAATATGAGAATAGTTATGTAGTTCATCTCTGAACTGGTAGAACCACTAATGCGAAGTCCTGGACTTTTGTTTTTTTGGGAATTTTGACTATTGTTTCAGTTTACTTGCTTGTGATTGGTCTGTTTAGGCTATCTATTTCTACCTGTTCAGTCTTGTATGGTTGTATATTTCAAAGAATTTGGCCATGTCCTCTACCCAATAATATTGGCTCTAATTAATTTGGCTCTAATTCAATAATATTGAATTATTCAATAACATACAAATGTTCACAGTAATATCTTTTTTTCCCCTTACACTTCTGAGATGCTATTGTAACCTTTCCTTTTTCATTTCTGATTGTATTTATATGAGTTTTCTCCAGTTTTTTTCTTAGTGTGCCCAGCTAGAGGCTTGTCTATTTTGTTTATTTTTTAAAAAGAACCAGCTTTTGGTTATTAATCAAATTTTCATTAATCTCTTGGACTGTCTTTTTTATTTATACTTGATTTCTCTAATTTTTACTATTTCCTTCTTTCTCTTGCCTTTTGTTTTTCTTTTTCATTTGTTCATCTTTTTCTAGTTCCTTAAGGTGATGCAGATTATTTATTTGAACTATTTCTTGTTTCTTGATGTGGTCCTGTTTTACTGTGTAATTTCCTCTTACTGCTACTTTTGCTGTGTGCCATAGGTTCTGGTTGGTTGTGCCTCATTTTCATTTGTTTTGAGGTATATTTTAATTTCTTCTTTGGTTCCCTCATTAGCTCAATAGTGATTCTGTTGTGTGCTGTGTAGTCTCCACATATTAGATTTTTTTTCTGCTTTCTTTTTTGTTTGATTTCTAGTTTGATACCATTGTCATCAGCAAAGTTATTTGATATGATTTTAATTCTTCATGAATTTATTGATACTTATTTTGTAACCCAGTATGTGGTCTATCCTGGAGATTGTCCCATGTGTTCAGCTTTTTGGGATTACAGTGCCCTATAAATGTCTATTAAGCCTATATGGTCTAACTATTTAAGGTTTCTGTTTTGTTGCTTATTTTTGTCTGGTTCATCTATCTGTTGGTGAAAATGGAATGCGGAAGTCCCCAACCACTACTATGTTGCTGCCTCGGTCTGTTTTCAGATTTTATCATCATTGCCTTACATTTTCTAATGCATCCTCATTAGATGATACATAATAATACTATGTATTCCTGACTTATTGTTCCTTTAATCATATAATTCCATCCCTATTTCTTGTTACTTTTATTTTTTAGCTAGAAAGCTATTTTATTCTATATAAATATGACTGTCCCTACCATCCTTTGCTCTCATTTGCTTGTAGGATTACTTTCCAACTCTTTAGTTTGAGCCTACTTTTATATTTGGAGCTCATGTGCATTTCCTAGAGACAGCAAAAAGTTGGATTTTTGTTTTTTGATTCACACAGCTGCTCTGTGCCATTTGATTGGTGAGTTCAGTCCATTTAAATTTAAAGTAATTATTGATATAATGGGTCTTCTACTTCCATTTTGTCCTCAGTTTCTGGTTCTATCTATTTTATTGTTGAGTTTTTATGGATGGTCTCTTTGATTCAAATAGGAGTGCTCCTTTCACCATATCTTATAGGGAAGTCTAGTATTTGCATACTTCTGTTGTCTGAGAAGGCCTTTATTTCTCCCTCATATCTGAAGGAGAGTCTTGCAGGATGTATTATTCTTGCTGGCAGTTTTTATCTTTAACTATTTTGAACACATCATTCCATTTTCACCTTGCCCAAAGTGTTTCACACTCAGAGAAGTCTGATATAGCCTGGTAGACATAGCTTTATAGGTTATCAGCTTCATCCCCACTAGACACCTTTGATATTCTTTCTTGGTCCTGAACTCTTGGAAATTTCATGACTGTGTCTTGTTGTAGTTCTCATTACATTTAGGTTACCAGTTGATCTTTTAGCTTCATGTGCTTATACATTTAGTTTCTTCCCCAGGCTTGGGAAATTTTCCTCTGTCGTTTCTTTGAATAAGTTCTGTGTTACCGTCTTTTTCTCATCTCCTTTTAATATACCTGTTACTGTTATAGTGCCTTTACTCATGAAGTTGGGTGAGATGTTTCTTCATTTTTCCCCTTCATATTCTTTCTTCTCCCACCTAGATTCTTTGTACATTATCATTTTCAAGGTCACTGTTTCAGTCTTCCATTTTGTCTGTTCTGTTTCCATACCTTCTCTAGAAATTTATGGCTCCCCTATTGCTCTTTTTTTACATTCTGCCATCTCATTAATATTATATATTATTAATTTTACGTATTTTTATTTTTATAATTTTATTTATTATTAATTTTATTTTTCAAGATACCCATTTGTATTTCCGAGTTTTCTTACATATCTTTTATCAACTTTTCTGGAGATTTATTCTCTCTTACAGTGAAATATCTCCTTGAGGACTCCAGGTGTCTTGTGTTTCGTTTTACCATCTGCCCATTTTGCCCACTTTACTATCAAGTACAATCATTAGAAGTTATTTTTATGAAAATTTAGTTTTCTAAAATGTGCTTATACTGCCCTCTTCCTGGGAAGATTGTTTTGCTGTCCTCAGGTTGCAGTGCTTCCACTTTTTAGCAGATGGTGTTATTGGTTTGTTTGTTTTAGCTTTTCCTAGGCTGATGTTTTAGTATATTGTATGATGTTGTATGTCAGAGAGAACTGATCTGCAGCTGCAGAGTCAGGAGGTGGGAATGGGGCTTGAAGAAGTCCTGTCATGGTGAACATGGTGTGTGGTGTGGCTCATGTTTTTGGTAGCGCTGATAACCTTCCTTTCTGGATTTTCATAGCTGATAACCCTCCTCTCTGCATTTTTATAGCTGGTAGGTTGAATTTTCAGCACCACTTCATGGGATAAACTCAAGACCCAAAACAGGTGGAAGAGGGGGACCACAATTTCCCACACTGTCCTCTTCATTGTACACCCTTCCCAACTAGCTCACCCCAGCACCTCTATATGCATCACCCCTCGGTTAAGGATGTAACTTCACACTAACCAACATTCCTCCCCCTAAGGCTGCCATTAAAACATGGGAACACACCTTTGAAACCTGCTTAAGTATCATTTTTTCCACTAAAATATATTTTCAGATTGCTATTTTATTTTGAATAAGAGATGCTTTCAGGGCTATTAACTTTTCATTGTCCATAGGATAAAATAACTAACTCAGCAGAACTTACATATGTTCCATGACAGGTGTAAATTTGCCTTATTAGCCATGTTATTTATTTATTACACATTCAGCTTTTTTTGACATCTGTAGCAATAGGCATTGTAATACTGAGAGGCAATGTGATAATTGCTTTAAAAAGGTATAGTATAATACCATATTACCTTACTGGGGTGACTTAGAGCAAATTACTTGCCATTTCTTATTGTCATTCTTTGTTAAATAAATCCATTAAATAATAGAGCAGTACCTCATAGAGTTATCATGAGGATTAATGAGATGGTGTATAGAAGTGTTTGTACAGTTCTTGCAATCATTGTAGGTATTTTCTTCCTTGTCCTTACAGGAAACTTTCCTAGTACAGTTCTCCCTTTCTACTCTTGTGGAGAGTTAATTTACTGAATTCCTAGAAAGTTAAGCTTTTAAAATTTAATTTTCTTGTGTAATTCTGTCTCTGATTAATTATGTCATATTAAAAATGAACCTAATTCACCCGTTAGCATTTTAAATTAAACTTAACTTTTAAGATTAATGTGATTAAAAGTAAACTGTTTGTTGATATGAATTATTTTTAGAAACTTATGTTGACTAATTGACTTATAATGCAACTTATAAAAAGTGTGTCTAGTTAAGGATAATGGGTTGAACACATGTATTTATCTTCTCTATTTCTTGTGACTGCTGAAATTATACCAAGGAATAAATGTGCAAATATAGTGAAACAAAGAGAATTAGAAAGTGTTTATTAGGTGGAAAAAATATTCAACCAGTGTTTATTGAATCCTTACTATGTTCTGGACATTGTTCTGGATACTGAGGAAAAGTTTCCAGTGAAACTGAAAAGTGAATAAAACTTGCAAAAGTTTCTTTGTTATGTCTTTTACATAAATGAAATATATAGTATGTTACATAGTGATAGATGTTATAAGATAGAAAAGGCAAGTAGGATGATATGGGTGGTAGGTGGTAGATTGCAATTAAAATTATTTTCTTACTGTTCCACCTTAGCTTATTTTCCTTTACTATCAAGTATAATCATTAGAAGTTATTTTTATGAAAATTTAGTTTTCTAAAATGTGCTTATACTGCCCTCTTCCTGGGAAGATTGTTTTGCTGGCTTTGCTATCCTAGTGTAACAGTTATTTTTTCTTAGCATTTTGAAAATCTTTGCTAATACTATAATTTCTTCATATATATATATATTGTATTTTACTAAATCCTTTACAATTACATCTGCTTCATTTTTAATGTGAAATATCATTTTTAAAGTTGTATTTGTCTGTTTTTCAAGAACAGAACTTTAGTCATTGCTTTCTTCCCTCCAATTTACCCAAAATCATGCCTAAGAGAGACAAATTTCCTTTAGTCTGTGTTTGTTTTTTGGTTTATTTCTCAGACCACTGGCTAAAAACATCTCCTTTGCTAGGCCTTCCTTTGATGCAGAAGTCTTCTGATTCACATTTGCAACATGCATAGATTCCAGACTGGTATCCAGCAAATTACTGAGGATGAACTATTTAATGTATTTCCTTCATCCTTTTGATATTTCCATAATTTTCTCTATGTTAATCAATGAAATCATTGTTTCTGACCTGAATTTCTTTGGGTAGATTTTTTTTTTATGTATTACCATGTCTTTTATTTTAATTATTCTGTAGTCATGTGTCCCTTGTTATTGGCTCTTTTTTGACTTAATCAAACCTGAGCATCTGGCTTTTGATTCTTGAATTATAAATGTTGGTTCAACATTTATGATTATAACTATTCATAATTATATGAGTTTCATATTTTCTTTTTGTATTTGTTATTTTTCTCATGATAGATCAGAGTTTCTTTTTATACTTTGAAGCTTATTTAGACTATTTTTAATTCCCTGTTTTATAGATGGTAATTACTTTTTATATTTTGAATTTTATTTTTCTCTGATCCTTTTAAAATATGCAGCTGTATATTTCTTCTAAACCCAGCAGCCATTTTAGCATACGTTCCTCTCCATGTAGTTTCCCCGCTTCAGTTTTTTCCACCTTATTCTGGCTCCTTTATTCTATTGATGTCATAAGTAATTTTGTTTTTTATGATATGTTTTTAAAAATTTTAGATAATGCATTTTAATGGATGATCTCTCTGCTACACCTCTACTTCTCTTTCTTCCCCTAGTAGAAAATGCTTAGGGATAAATAGTTTTTCTGAACTTGTGGTTACCTGCTCTTTGCCAAAGCTGAGCTGACTTTGAACCTGTTATACCCTACTGGAATTAGGCTGGTAGTACTGTTTTTCTGCTTTGCGTGGGATTAGACAGAAAGGTCCCCCTTGGACCAGAGGACCTGCTAGTAAGCTCTTCCCTACACATCTGGAGTTTCTGATTCTTTTCTTTGAAAACCTTTTCTTTCTCCTTAGGACAGTCTCACAGTTTTAATGTTAGTTCCTGTGTCTATAAACCTCACTTAAACATCAGTGGCATCTCGAAGCTTGACTTCGTAAGAGGAATAAGCAGCCCCTACTTTTCATTTTTATGAGGAAGACTTTAGAACATTATCATAATTGTATTATTTTGTGTAAACATTTTGGAGTTTGCTTACCAGTAACTTGCAAATTCAGAAGTATTCCTTAAAATCAAAGTGTAACATTATTAATTTTAATTTTCTAAAATATTAATCTTTCCAGTTCTGGTAGTATCAGCAGTGATGAGGAAGAACTAAGGACTTTGGGAAGCAGTGGTAGTGAAAGCAGCACTCCAGAGAATGTTGGGCCTCCATTCATCACCGATGAGAATAGTTGGTTCAACAAATGTAAAAGAGTTAAACAAAAGTATCAACTAACCCTGGAGCAGAAGGTATTTATCAGTTGTCAAAATCATTTGAATTGGTTCTAGTTACTGCCTTTAGACTGTGACAAAAGGTTTCAGCTGAATGAAACTATTTACCCATTGCTACTTCCTTTCTGTTCTTAAATTTATTAAATTGTTCTCCTCTTAATTAAAAATCAGCTAAAGTTTTTGTTTGTTAAGTTTTGAGAGGTTTTTGTTTGTTAAGTTTTGTTTAATTTTGTGTTTTAATGTAAAAATGAGCCACTTATTTTTCTGAATGCAGTTTTATTTATTATTTTTGAAAATGTAATGATTGCCTAAACAAATTCCATCTATTTTGTTTTTTTAATCAGATTTTTCAGCAACTCTTTTGTGCGAAGCACTGTACTAGGCAAAGTGGAGTAGATATCAGAAAGGAAAATAAACTCCATTATATTTTTAAAATATTTATTTATTCATGCATAGAAGAACTGGGGTGTAGGCCAGAGGTGGGGGGCGAGAGGATTCACCAGAGACAGAGTGAGCAGAACAGGCAGACCTACTGAAATACACTGCTGAGGGGAGCAGTGGGTGAGACAGGAGAGGTCTGCTGTGTTATATGTGGGTAGCTCCCTGCCTGGGGATCAGACTCAGGCCACAGCAATGAATAAACTCCATTTTCTGGAGAGTTTATTTAAAAAATAAATTATTTTTTATTTTCCCGTCTTTTTCATTTTCCCGTCTATCTTTCCTTTCCAAGTTTATTATTCATTATTCATAAGGAACATGCAATGGAATTAGTGATAAAGATATAGAACATTTAAATATGTTCTATCAGGAAAATGGTTATCAAATGAATTTACAAATATGAATGGATTTCCTATACATAAACAACTACTAATTAGAAAATATAAAGAGGCATTTATAATAGCTACAAAAATGTGCCTAATATACTTGAATAAACTCTAATGCCCTATTAAAGACTTCTGGTACTAGCAAAAAGTCAGAAAGAGATAATCTGAAAAGCTTTAAATCACAGACATCTGAAATCCTTTACTATAATACAGTTTTTTAAAGAGTTTCATGCAGAGGCACTCTCTCATTGAACAGGAGCTCACTAAGGACCAGAAATATAAGAAGTACCTAAAAAAACATGTAGAATAACTCATAACTTAAAACACATTGTAGGGACCTAGTGCTGGAGCTAAGGGGCCATCCTCTTGTAATTAAACACCAGAAGGGAAACCACAGAGGTAGGCCACAATCATTGAAGTTATACTGAAACTAGAAGGCAGGAATGAAATGCAAAATAGCAGAGTAAATACAGAATTTGGTAAGTAAGGTTTGACAATATGAAACAACTACAGTATTACTATTATGGGGTGGTAATGGTATAAAGGATATTTAATAATTGACTTGTAGAGAAAATAGATAGAGAAAATAGAGGATTTCAAATTTTTTAGCTTTTGCTAATTTTGCAGCAAATGGGTAAATACCCCCATGGTGGTCATTGACATCACTTTTGCAAAATTGGGAAGAGATGCATAGTAGCACACCATTATGTGGTATTTCTACCAGGCAGAGAAAATAGATGTACATGACTTCAAAAGATAGCTAATAATAGTAAAAATACTTCGAAACTGATGAGGTTTAGTAGTTATTTCCTTTTTATATATAATTAAAACTTTATTAATAGCATTATTTAACCAATAAATTACTAACTTTTTAAAATTTAACAATTAGCTCTTCTAAGCTGGATGGACTTGGAAGAGTATCCCACCACTTAGAGCAAAATGGAATTAAAACACTAACAGTATTAGAAAGGGTGGTAGAGGATGCTTGAAAATAAATCTTTTTGAAATTTTTGTATTATAGTGAAGGAATGTAGACTCATTTTTTTAATACTTTTTATTTTTTTATTTTTATTTTTTTAAGATTTATTTATTTATTTATACAAGCATTGGGTACAGTCAGAAGCACGGGAGGGTGAGAGAATTCACCAGAGCCAGAGCAGGGAGCAGAGCAGGCAGAAGGACCGAAGTACACTGCTGAGGGGAGCAGTGGGCGGCAGGAGAGGTCTGCGCGCCATGTGGGATCCTCCTCCCGTGGCTGGGGAGCAGCCGGGGAACGAACAGGTGCTGCAGAAGCTGCGGGCAGCCACGCAACCCAGCACTCCACCGCTGCGCCACCGGGGAGGCCCTGTAGACTCATCTTTAAATGTGCATACCTGTTTCCAAAGTTGCAGTTATAAGAGGTGTAGGATATTTAACTTACAAATTAATAGTGAGAAAAAGAATAAGGAAAATTTGGTTAATACAATAGAAAGGAGCAAATGAGAAAAAAATGAGGATGATTAAAAAGCAAACACAAAACAAAGTAGTAGAAATAAATCTTAATATCTTTAAGAGTCAGCATGATAAAAATAAATGTTAACTTGCTGGTTAACATTGCCTATATGTATAAAAAAAAGAATTCACCAGAAGAATATAACAGTGCTAAACTTACATGCATTTAACAATGTACATGTGAAAAATATGAGTAGACTATCCAGGAGAAATTTAATAAATTCATAATTATAGTAGGAAATGTTAACATTTTCAAACTAATGCATAAAGTGAATAGACAGAAAAAATAGGTAGTCAAACAACACAATAAGTTTTATATAAAATATGTTAAGTGCTAACAATTAGAATACCAATTCTTTTCAAGTATCCATAGGACAGCTATTTAATTTTTATGTAGCATGTTTTGTCACAAAGCAAATGCCCACAAATACCAAAGAAGTGATATTAGTCATCATAATGCAATAAAGATAGAGGCAATACAAAAAGCTTGCTACCACCAGGGGATTTTAAAAAAAAATAAAGACTTCTAATTCTGGTCAAAAGAATTAAGAAATAAATAAGAATGAAAATAATTGACTGTAAGTTTCAAATGTGCAGTACTTAGAAAAGAAAAAATAAAAATTAATTATGTATAAAAGTGTTTAAAAACCAAAACAGGAAGGAAAATAATAAAAATAAAAGCTGTATTGATTAAATTAAAAAATGGAAATAGAAATAACAAACCAAAAACTGATTATTATAAAATTTAATGAAATAGAGAAATCTTCTCAAGAATAATTAAATTCATAAAAAAAATTAAGGCAGAGACAGATGATTTCACGAATGCAGAGAGGCAGGCAGCATAAACTATTTGGAGCAGAGATTCCATTCAATAATTACAGAAAATAATTTTGGAAATTCGGTGTCAATACCTTAGAAAAATTAGATGAAGAATTTTTATAAATATCACTTCTCAAAAATGATAGGTTTTAGCTATTAAAGAAATAAAATAAGGGGGCCTCCCCAGTGGCGCAGCGGGTTGAGCGCAGCACTGTGAAGCTGTCCCACAGCCTCTGCAGGGCCGGTTTGATTCCTGCCTCAGCAGTGTACTTCGGTCCTTCTGCCTGTTCTGCTCCCTGCTCTGTCTCTGGTAAATTCTCTCACCCTCCCGCGCCTCTGGCCTGTACCCCAGTGCTTGTATAAATAAGTCTTTTTTTGGGGGGGGGGCCTCCCCGGTGGCGTAGCGGTTCAGCGCTGGGCTGAGAAGCTGCCCGCAGCCTCTGCAGCGCCAGTTCGATCCCCGGCTGCTCCCCGGTCACCAGAGGAGGGTCCCACATGGCGTGCAGACCTCTCCTGCCGCCCACTGCTCCCCTCAGCAGTGTGCTTCGGTCCTTCTGCCTGCTCTGCTCCCCACTCTGGCTCTGGTGAATTCTCTCACCCTCCTGAGCTTCTGACTATACCCAGTGCTTGTATAAATAAATAAAATCTTAAAAAAAATATACATATATATATCCATCCCTTCATACACACCACAATCACCAAACTTGTTTGGTTCTGGAAGTAGGCTCTGCCAAATATTCAAAGGGTAGTGATAACTAAACCTAAAATAAGCTAATGGACCATTTACAGTGGAGTGAATAAATAAGCAACAACACTCAATCTTGAGAGTAAATAAATAATACATAATCTCATCAGTGTAGATCTAAGCAATGGGATAAAAAAACAAGTTTCAAAAAAGTATAGACAAACCCAGCAAAACCATTGTATTATTCAAGGGAACATATATTTGTGATAAAGCTAAAAGGAAAATAAGCAAAGTGCCTCCCTGGTGGCACAAGGGGTTGTGTCTCAGCACTTTGAAGGTATGGGCAGCCGCTGCAGCGCCAGTTAGATCCCCAGAGCAGACCTCTCCTGTCAGCCCTCCTTCTCCCCTCAGCAGTATATTTCAGTAGATCTGCCTGTTCTGCTCCCCACTCCCCACTCTGTCTCTGGTGAATCTTCTCAACCCCACCCCTGTACCTCTGGCTTATACTCCAGCTCTTATATGCATAAATAAATAAATCTTTAAAAAAAAATCAAGGGGATGACTAACACTGATCTGAAGAAATTAGTATTTTTTTTTATTTTATTTTTATATTCCCCATACAATTGCAACCCCCTTATTTTGGCCCCAGTCCCACCTTAGAAATTATTGTCCTTGCAGAGGAAAACAAGGAGTGTGTGTGATCAGGGAAAGGCATTATAGGGACTGTATAAGTATTAGCATTAATATAGATGGTGGGTATATGAATATTCTTTAAATACTAATGTTAGATGTTGGAGGCGGCCACCCCGCGTAGTGAGCAGAAGGGCCTTGACCTGAGTCCCTAAGGCATGTGAAAACACATGCGTCTCGGAGGAAAACCTCTGAGTGACAGGACTTGGTGTTGAGAGCCTGAAAAGTGACCCGCGTGGAGTCAGGCTTCCACATCTCCACAGTCTGAGAATAACAAAATGGAGAGACCCTGCGCAGTGAGCAGAAGGGCCTTGACCTGAGTCCTTAAGGCATGTGAAAACACATGTGTCTCGGAGGAAAACCTCTGGGTGACAGGACTTGGTGTTGAGAGCCTGGAAGTGAACTGCGTACATCTCCACAGTTTGAGAACAACAAAATAATGAGCGAACTTCCCAGGCTCTGGCTAGGAGTTGATAAGATTATGTGTATGAGAACTAACCACCTGGTACCCTACTATCTGAAGTAAATAGATAATAGTAAGAAAATAGACTAATCGTTCATACATGTTATCATTATATGGTATGCTTTGATGTTACACCTGCTGCAATTAAAATAGTATATAATGAGCACTAAGACAATAAAGATTTACTGCATGCTGGACATGACAGCCCCCCATGTCTGATTTCCCTCCCCATGGTGTCCCAGGTTCGGACTCACTAGAAGTCCACAGTTAATAAATAGCCATATTTAGCTTATGTTAATTTGTATATATGGAGGACATTTATTTTTGAGATTTTATTATGAAAAAAAACAAATATTTGAGAATCTTCAGGGAAAAATATTACAGAAAGCTCATGTGGGGACAGGAGTAGTATCTACTGTTAATGTGTCATAAAGTTAAAATAGCGAAAACAGTTTGTTAATGATACGGGAATAGGATAACAATAGAGGAATACTTAAGAAAAAAATTCTAATTACCATATTGAGAGCACTCTGAAAGCACATTGCTACTGAAAAGAATAGGATGCCATGAGAGGGGAACAACCACATAGTATGAAAGATCTGTTGAAAATTAATAGATGATTACCTGAATTTAAAAATTTATCAGAAGCATTGGAAGAATAAATTCGGTTAAGTCTCCCAGAAAGCAGAGCTGAAAGACAAAGAAACAGTAAATGAGTAAAAAGATAAGAGACAGAGGGTCAGTAAAAATTATCTATTTGGTGTTTTGCTAATAATAGTAAGTATTTATCACATATGGTATATCAGGCACCATTTACCTATATTGATTAATTTAATCCTCCTAAACAGGCACACTTATTCCCACTTCTTTAGGTGATGAGACTATGCCTCAGAGCAATTAAGTTGCTCACCCAAGGACACTTAGCTGATAAATAATAGAAGTGGTATGACACTAAGCAAGGAGTCATATCCTTGACAAAGTCTGCAGGTCTAAACAAAATATTATATTGCTTGCTACTTATTTGTTAAGGCTAATTGTTAATCTCTGCTTTTGAACAATAATCACATAGAGACAACTTTTGTGGCTTTTTTTAAAGATTTATTTTATTTATTTATGCCTGGGGTGCAGGCCAGAGGTGCGGGGTGGGGGGTGAGAGGATTCACCGGCAACAGAGTAGGGAGCAGAACAGGCAGAACTACTGAAACACACTGCTGAGGGGAGCAGCAGGTAAAACTGGAGAGGTCTGTTGCCCCATGTGGGTTAGCTCCCTGGCCAGGGATCAAACTTGTGCTGCAGTGGCTGCTGATAGCTTCATACTGCTGAGATTTAACACCTTGTGCCACCAGGGAGGCCCTAGAGACAACCTTTAAATTGGTCATTCTGTAATTAGATCTGAATATTGATGTCCTTGGAGGCATATAGAATATTTAACACTGATGTGGGGTTTAGAAATCAAAATATATTAACTAAGTTTTACTTTAAATTACAAACTTTTTATGAAACTTTAGAGCTGTGAGTAATGGAGAACATATTAAATTTTTGTGTTAATTGAAATTTTTTACGATTTTATTAGATGCTTTGATATTGTTTCATTGCAGTATAGATAAGTTGCAGCTCTCCTGCCAGCCTCTGACTATGCAGCTTATCTCTTTTCTTTCTCCTTTCCTGATAAACCTATCCTTTTAAAAATGTAAAATAAATTTATAGATAAAAAGAACATGTAAGTTAGTTAGCATTCATCTTTAAGATATATTTTTTGAAATTTGTGGTTACTGTATTTTAATGATACTATATTTCCAGGGTTATCTTGAAGAACTGTTACGACTTCGAGAGAACCAGCTGTCTGAATCAGTCTCCCAGAACAAAATACTACTTCAAAGGATTGAAGATTCTGATTTGGCCCATAAATTGGAAAAAGAACAATTAGAATATATAATTGTGGAACTTCAAGATCAGCTGTAAGTGCGATCCTTTTGGAAAAATTTTTGGTGGTATGTAAACAGAAGAAAATGTCATGTTTTGACAGTGGATTCATTACATTGGTATAGCTGACTTTTTCCCATGGCAAGAACTTATTTGATTAAGACATTTATTGATGTATATGCTAGCACAAACTTCTTGTCACTGTTCAAATAATTTTTACTAATCATACCATTTTGTCAAACTTGATTTTATCAGTTTTTATCATGAAAATCTTTTCACATTAATATTAATCCTTAAGGATAATTTAAAATTTTTCACTTTGAAATAATTTCAAACTTTCAGAAAAGTTGCAAGGATAGTGCAAAGAATTTCCATGTGCCCTAACCTAGAGCCACCAGTTTTCAACATTCTACCATATTTGGCCTGTAATTCTCTCCCTCTTGAATACATCATTCATTTTTACTCCTTAACTTCAGTTGTGTCTTTCCTAAAGACAAAGATGGTCTTTCATATAACCATATTTGAGCTATGAGTTTAAAAAATTTAAATTGATGTAATAGTTTCCATCTTATCTGTAACTCATTTAATTTCATCAGTTGTCCAAATAATGTCCTTTATTACAACTTTTGTTTTTCTGATACAGGGTCCAATCCAGGATTATATTTTGCATTTGGTTGTCAACGTCTTCAGTCACTTTTAGTTTAGAACAGTTTCTCAGTCTTTTTTTTTTTTTTTTTTTTTTTTTGCAGGATATTGATCTTTTGAAGAGTATAGGCTAGTAACTCTCTAGACTTACTATAAAATCACTCATAGAATTACTATAAAATCACTGATTAATTTACTTTTCTTTACGACTAGAATGAGTTTTTCCATTTTGACTGAAATATTTAAGCAGTGTTCCCAAATGAGAACAAAAGGAAGGAATTTTAAATAAAACATAAAAATAAAAGCAAAAAATAATACACAGAAACAATGGTGTTTTCTCAGATTATTATGTTCAGTGGTTCATGAAGTCTGTTGGTCTTTAATTAGCGATATTAATTTTAATCTTTTGGTTAAGGTGTTTTTCTCTTCTGTGTAGCTACTGTTGTTACTTTTGTAATCAATGTGTAGTTTACAAAGAGATACTGTGAGACTAAGTAAAAATAAAAGATGATTTTTTTTTAGCAGAAAATTTTAAGGAACATAAAGATAATGATGTTTTCTAGGACTTTGTATCTTGATGAAAAGAATTATGTTCACATATCATTTCTTATATTTTTTCCTGATATTTTAAAGAGAATTTGTCCTATGGTGCTAACCTGCCCTGTCACTCATTGAGGAGAAGAGTAACATCTTCCATTGTCCTTTGCTTCTATAAACAGGGAGAACCCAACAGTAGAGATTATTTATTTCTTTACAATTAGAAGTTTAGGGAGATAATTTCATTTTATGTTATAGATTGTATAGTGGTTTGACTGAAGTCTTTAAAATAATTTTGAGATTTGTTCCTATTTTATCTAAAGAAATATTTGTCAAAATTAAATTTTAATGTGTCACATTCATTTTACTTTTGTTAATTTTAAGGAAATAAAATCTCTCAAGCTTTTTAGTTTTATTAAATAATCTACCAGTTTTATGGTTTTATCATACCTCTATGATAGAAGAATATAATTGATCCTCTTGATTTTGCAGCTGAACTTTATGATTGCTTTGTATTTCTGGGAGATTTTAACTAAACAAATATTAATAGAACAACAAATGAAAAATTAGGGCTCTGATTAGAATTAGACTATTTTCTTGGGTTTAGAAGTTAAAGATTTACTTTTTATATGGCATCACTGCAGGTCTGTGTAAACTAGTCTCATAAGATTCCTTTATATAAAAACTACTTTCAAGGATATTGAACAGAAAAAAATACACCTCTCTTTGAGAATATTCATAATTCATCCCTTTATCATAGTCATTTTAAGGCACAGAATATTCTGGACTTTCTTGCAACTCTGGAAAGAGAATGGGCTTTTTTTTTTTCTTTTAAAAATTTTTCACTAACCAGAGGCCTGCAGTCAAAGTTGGGCACTGAAATTCCCTTTTGTTAATCCTGAGAAGATAAAAATGGTCCTGGGAAGATTAAAATTCATAATGTATAAATTAAAAAGTCAGAACTTCCTCTAAATATATGAAATAGAATATGAAGCATGTAATATATACTTTTACATTGTGTTGATGATACTTTCCTGGGTGATTTAAATTCTTTGTCACTTTAGTTTTTAAATATTTCTCAGTGGTTAGATGAGGGCTCCTTAGTAAAGGTAACTGAAGAGTCTAAATAGAAGTAAGGAACCATGCATTGCTCAAAGTAGGCCATTGTTACCATCCAGTAACCAATTTGAAATTTGGTGTAGTTCCTGGTGAATAGTGATAGTGTGATAGATTTGCCTGCAAATTTTAAGTCACAGATGTGATGGCGTCCTGCTTCACAAATTTTAGGGTTAATAGTATAAGCCTATTGAGAGAGTGCAATGATGTCATCATTGCCCATTTCATAGTAGACAGATTATGACACTTCTTGGTCATATATATTTTTGGCAGGTAACAGTGTTATTAAAATAAAAAATTATAATCATGCTAATATATTTAGCATACTCTGTTATCCATATAAGAACAAAAAAAAATCAAGAAAATACATCTGAAAGGGAAAAAGGTTGGGTATTAGACAGTTAGGTAAAAATGTGTTCTATTGTAGTTTCTAGGGTATTAATGAGAAATTAGATATTACAACAGGAAAGGGTACCAATATGATATAACATTATTTTGTTGCTGATAATCATGATGTTTCATTAAAAAATGCTGGCAGATTTTTTTTGAAGAGGAGATATAGATATCCTTATATTTGGACCAGGAGATTAGCAATATTTGGGACTACCACACAGTATTTCACATAGAAGTAACTCATTCGAACAGAAAAATAATTACTTTTGGTATCCTTGTTTAGTAAATGTTTTTACATTGAATACTTGAAAAAAGGAAGTCTCCTTAACTAATAATTTTAAATAATAAATAATTATCAATACTCAAATATTTTTATTTTCATTCTTTAACTTTTAATTCATCCTTAAAATTTAGTTTTTATATTCTAAAGCTATTGTATTTTTAATGTTTAAGAAGTTTTTGATTGTGCACAAAAGAGAATTAATTATACTGATTAGCATGTGGTTATAGATGGAAACTAGACTTTTGGTAGTGATTTTGATATAGTGTATATAGATTTTAAGACATACAAATGTTCTAAGCTAATGTTACCTCAATAAAAATTAAAAAAAAAGACCTTCCTGATTACCCATTGCCCAGATTTAAGTTACTGAAGAGAAATAAGATACCAAAAAAACCTGAAGAAATGCTTCAAGAGCTATCTAACCTCATTAGAAAAGGGAACATAAGGGTAATAGGTATACCAGAAGGTGAAGAGAGGGACAAGGGAACTTGGTGCTTACACTAACAGCTGAAAATTTCCCAGACCTGGGGAAGGAATTGACTCTATAAGTCCATGAAGCTAACTGAACACCTGTTTATCTAAATCAACAGTTAACAAGAGGTGACATTTGCTTTACTTTTTTCTTTAGTTTATAAGCAGTTATGGAGCAAATCATAGTCTTTCATTCTTACATACTTTTAGCTTTGAGTTTTTTAAAAATGGTTTTTGAAAATTGAGGGCGCCTGACTGAGTCACATCTGTTCCAAAGTGTTTCTGATATCCAGTCAGGTTGGGGAATCACTTTCGTAAGCCACTGGATTAAATTTGAGTTTAACTTTTTTGACAAGAATATTTTGTAGATGGTTTTGTGCACTACATATTGGAAAGCTCACCTATCGTTCTTCACGTAGAGATCTTAAGATATATGGTGTATTCAGTTGTGACAGCCTTATTTCCACTTTGTAAAAGTTCAGTAAGTTTTATACTGTGGATGAACATTACCTGGAGCAACTACTTCATGGTGACTTGTAAAATAGTGATTTCCTATTGTTGTTCCTTCCACACTTACCGACTTTAATCATCTATAAAAAAGAACTTTCCCTCATCAGGGCTATTTGGTGGTTACCATAACAGTTCTTGTAGGGAATTATTTTCAGACTAAGATGTTGATACCCTACATAGTTATTGATGAGATAAAGATCTTGCTTTTTGTTTCATTTTGCTTTATCTCTTTATTTCTCAGAGTATTATGAACTTGTTGCATATAATCTCTTCTGTAATGTGAATTAGTTCATACAATATTCGCAAATAGGGGGATGATGTCAGGAAGGCAAAGAAATCACCTTGATTCATAGTTCGTTTTTTTCCTGGAGGTTGTTTCTCAACAAAAAACCCCAGCAGAACACAAGATGGTAATATAGGCAAGTACTACAAACCGCCAATAGATGGCAGTTTCTCACTCTGCAAAATACTGTCACCAGTCATTCTTCTAGTTCAGTTGAAGTATGTCTTGGATGTGCTTATTTTGAGTTATGCAGCTTTGTGTGTTTAAATTGGGTTTGAAAAAAAAAATTTTTAGGAGTTTATCGTTTTTCTTAGTGTTCTAGTTAGAAAGTGGGATAAGCTGCAAGGTAGAGGAAGCCCTCCCTGTGTCCACATACAAATCTCTCCCATTCTGTTGGATGGTGTTGGACCTTCCACACCAGATGAAATGGTCTCTGCAAGGCTTTTGTTTCTGACTGAAGTTCTGGATCCTGAGGCTGCTTTCCTTCTCTCTTCCTGTGCATCCCTGCGACAGATGGTCATCCCCCACTGTTAGAGGAAGGCTTTTGGAATTGGGGCAAATAAAAGTTGTCTTCTGACCTTGGCTCTTTCCATTCTTTGCTGATAGCTATGGATCAGTGTAATCCCTGGAGCATAGCACTTGGCACAGTGTTAAAAAAGCAAATTCTCATCTCCACCCCAGGCTTTCTCAGTCAGAAACTCTGGAAGTATAACCCAGTAATAGTAATCTGTGTTTCTGATGAGTGAGAGGGGAGGAAAAGGGAAGAAACCTTTAATGTTATCATTCAGAGTTAGGAA